AAATGAGCGTTACAAGTTTGAATTTTGTTTGCTTGTCGCTGAAAATAAGTTAACGTTTGGCATAGGATGACGGATGTAAATTTGGGGATGCCAATGAGCTACAAAAATTTGTCCCAGTGAAATAATTCCACTATTTGGATAATCTAAAGTATTTGCTTTCTACCAAAATCAGGATTGAAAATCTTATAACCCTACTTGCCAAAATTTATATATTTAGATGTAGAAAAACTAGTTCTTTAAACTTTGATTCCTTTCTTCGCTATATCAATTTCTTTCATAATGTAGAATATTCCATAGCCTTAATTTAAAGAAAGGTAAACTGGAGAAGCACTGCGATAAGTGGGGCTCTTTATGCAGCTAATGTTATGTTCACTTATGATACTTATTTGTCGTTTGAAATGAATAGATATTATTGTTATGGCTACAATAAAATGTTTCTATAAATACGTTAATATTTATTTGATCATTATTATTTCTATTTTGAATTGACTTTATATTATTATGGTTATAATCAAATGTTTCTACAGATACAGTAATAGTAATTTCATTATTATTTTTATGTTTGAAATGAGTTGATATCATTATTATTATAATCAAACAGACAGAAATAATTGATTATTATTATTTCTATGTTTCTGTATCATTTTCCGTTATTATTGTATTATTATCTGGATGGTTCAATCTCTGTATCTTTTAATGTGAAAGAAAAAAAAATGGAAAAAAGAATAAGAAAAAAATATTCACAATTACAACGCAAAAAAAAATATTTGGCTCCTTTTAGTCTGTTTTTTTAAAAAGTGGATCACATTTCACGTTCCATGTGTAGCTTTGGGTAATACTAGAATGATCTTCCACTCAGCCATTTGTCAGACGTTTGCGTATTAAGTAAGTGCTTCACACAGCTCTGAGCTTTTCTTTTCATACTGGATAGTTATCCCTGAAAGGTGGTAGTTAGAAAGGTGGTAATGTAAGATCAATGTTGTCGACAAAAGTGATACAAATGTCACAGTCTTCCTTTTCACAGAATGAATGTAACAATATGTAACCACACTATCACCTAAAGAAAAAGCATTTGAGACGGTTTCTACACACAATATTATTCATGACCAATGTCACTCTGAACTTTTACTCTGAACTTCCAAACATTCTACTAGCTTCTCTGTAGCCCTATTGGAGATCGCATGCGCATTTTGTAGCAAAATAATAAAGTCATGTTGGTATAATAACAAACAACATGTCTAATAAAAATTCATGTTGATATAATGATAAACAAAATGTTTTAATGTTAACAGTGTTTTTGTTTTTATTTGCTGCACATAAAATCGCATCAATGTTACATATTACATATTGGTAAATATAGGCACCACCACAAAATGTACCAACCAACTTGAAACAAGCTGTTCTTATGCCATACACAAGGTAATAGCTACTCACAAAACAGTTAGATGTTTCGTGATGAAGCAACGTACTGTTAGGTGGATACATTTTCATCCAAAATATAATTCTTGATATTTATCCTTGACTAAGTACTTAAAGACACATCAACATGACCATATGGAAGAACGGTAAGTAAACGTATGTTACAGAGTTTGGTGACAGAAATAAATAGCGGACGTGAATAATGACACGTGCCATCTGACGTCTAATTCAAGACTAGGGCGAGGTGAACAGGACTAGGTGGTTTTAATAAACTACCAATCACCCTTAGAACTACATGGTTTCTACTTTGACAGGTCATGATATCTTATATGCTTATCTATGCCATCATAATGCTTCTATCAAACCGTAAAAATTGGCGACAGCATATTTTATATTTCACTGCAATGAGCCATATATCGTTTAACATCGCACGTTTACTTTAATTATATAAATTGTAACAATATCAGAAATATGCACACGCCTCTTTATTAGTAATATGCATGGAAAGTACAATTTGAAGAAGTTACTCATCTGACTAACGTACTTTTTAATCATTTAGGTAATCAGGATGTACCGCACTATGACCTCTCTGACCCTCGCGTTGACCCAAATACAATACACGACTGTTAAACGACCGCGGCAGTATTTAGGTAAAAAAAACACTTTCACATATTTCAAATACATGAAACCCCTCTATATTAATCACAAGCATACAACCCTGAAAGCGATACAAATATGCTACGTGTACTAGTCGTTTGTCAGTCATCCATAACTTCAATAATAGGTAAAAAGACGCCGCTGTCATCGTTACCGACTTAGCTCAGTTGGTAACCGCGCTGCACTGCGAACCATTGCTAGCGAGCTGGGCGCGAGTTCGATCCTTGCTCGGATCATGTTATGATATGTTATGTATTGTGTTATTGTGTTATGCATGTGTTGATGTTACTAACACTGTTCTTGTTTGTTGTATTGCGTCTGTCATGATGTTTATATGTTACTAACTTTATATGTTTCTTGTATTATGTCTGTCATGTTTATATGTATTTCGTCTTCATGTATTATGTATGTCATGATGTTTAAGTGAATAACTCCGTCATCTGTATCGTTCTGTTATGTATGTTAATTGTATGTTACGTTTTGCGCTATGTTTTGTCATATCTGTTATTAAGTTGTATGCGGTTTGTTGAAAACTAAAGGTAGTAGTCATTGTTGGAAAATGTCAACGTTACTCTCTTTATTTTAGATGTTAAAATTTAACGAAGTCTGAAGGAGAATGTGTTTACTTGACATTTTTCTTAAAGTCTGTTTCTTTTAGCAGTATCATATAAAAGGATTTGTGGATACCTACTGTACTAACGCAGTCCTGGGTTTTAACTTTTGTTTATGAGTTGTGTCCGGCCCGACTATTTCTGACATTCCCCAAAAAAGCACAATGAAGTGGGGTTTCATGACAAAGAAAATATTACACCTATAGCTGTAAACATAGTTGAAACAGGAACAAACGCGAACGCATTATTTGGTCCGATGTAGGTCCTCACCACGACAAAAACCGCAGCCTCCGAGCCGCCAATCACGTGACGCCCTGACATGTCAATCATTCCGGTAGATACGTAAGCCGTTACCACGGTGACATGCGTCACTCCCCGGAGTTGATACGAAGCCTGATGCACGTGGTGCGCTTAGCTGTCAATCATTTTCGCAGCCAAGGAAACCGTCACCACGGTGACATGCGTCCCAATCCCAGTACTCACCGCGGTAAAGATGGCGGCCGAGTGTTATTGTTGTTGCTGTAGTCCTGGCAACGTTACTTGTTGTCACGACAACTATAGTCGTTTTTGAGTGGTGGAAATGAAACGACCGTATTCAGACTTTTTAGTCGTTACTCAGTCGTGAATTAGTCGACGCGATGGATATGGTCGTGAACTGGTCTGGAATGTCCCAATATTCGACCAATCCCAGCCCAGATTACGACCATCAGAAATCAATGGGCAAAATGTACGACCAAAACACTACCGATTTCAGCCTATCCATTCAACACGACCAACGACCCATTTCACCCCCAAGTCAGACCGATCAACGACCTGCCCGTGCACTGTGATTGCACACAGAACCGGCGTTTACGTTTCCGGCATTTTTACTTGAATACTGCGTCCCCTTTCCTTCTTCTTTTTAGCCTAGCCTCCTTGCTTACCTTTTGCTTGTAGATCCACTTGATCGCGATAAAGGAGAGTCGGAACTCCAGGGGTTATCAAACATAAACACCTGTGTGGGCACACACGCGTAGTGACCACTTCGATGACGCAACGACGGGTCAAAGTTGAAAAATCCCACCTGTCTCGCCAAAGCTCGGTAAAACCTCGCGAGATCTCGTCTTCGGCAGCGAGAGTTCGGCATTCGGTGTCCATTTCCCTCGGCTGTAGGCATGGTGAGTGAATGAGTCCTCTTCATCTTCGTATTTTCTTGTTATTCTGAGGCATGTTTGGTTATTTGACGACGAAAGTTCGTTGGGGAGGCTTTAAGGATGTTGGGGCGTAAGTTTGTTTCGAACTGCAGAATTAGAAACTGTGGAAAAGCTCCCTAGTTACAGGGTTGTCGGCTGCCGTTTTTGGGAAGTTTGATGTGGTAAGTCGACGCCTGATATATAAAACGGTCAGCGGCAGCGCTGGTCTCGGTGTAACAATCGTCTCCAAAACGCCCGTGTTGGCGTTTTTACATTCATTTTGTTTCCTGTGGTGTATAAAGTTTTGAAAACGTGAAGTTTTGTTGAAAATTAGACGTTAAGCCGGCTTGTGTACCCGCATGATGAAGCCGCGCAGACGGGAAGGGGGAGGGGGGCGAGTGAACATGTTTAGAAAATTCCATCCATTCTTGAACATGGTCCCTATGTGGCACATGGGTGGATATAACTGTCACGCTGTCCGTCTGCTACATCAATAGCCCCTGCTGTAAAAATTCATTCAGTCTGCTTCTATATTTAGATCCCTATAGAAGGATCTGTGCCTTAAGAAGGTGGCATAAACATCTTGAAAACACATTATGTTGTACAATGGAGGCCACTTGAATGTGATTCTTTCAGTTTCATATCCAGGCTTACTCTGATAGGGTATGACAGAGAATGTAGGCAGGGCATGTCATCACCCGGCATTTGATTGATTTTGCAGATCCCACGTGGTGGGCAGTGCCGTAGTACTGTCGCCAACGACATGATAGAAAATTATATCGGTGTCATGATTTCTCTGACATAAATATTTGCGAAAAGACTTTGCTGTTTGAGGTTGAGTTGTATCAGTGCCTAGCAATGTAATGTGGCTTCAAACTGTAGTTAGAATTTTTGTTTCTTCCTCGTTAGGTTTTACGGAATAATTAGATTTTATGGAGAAGGTTTTGTCACATTCATTTTGTGAAGTGCATCGGCACACCGGTTTTCATTTCAGTCAGCTGGAAGATTTTTCATTGCACTATTTATTGTTGCAAGAAATCCCATGCATGCAAATTTACGCTAAAAATTATAGGAAAAAAAATGTGAAATTCAATGCTGATGAAAGGTTGACAGTCATTTTTCCAGTTACCATATTTGTAACATGACTGGAAGAAAATACAGATTCATTCAAATTCCCCGTTTTGTCAGCTGTTAGTCATAGACTTATAAATATTGGACAGTTGTGGGGCAGTAACAGCTGCATATATAGCACTGCATGTAGTCCTAAATTTTGTCACTTGGAGTCCTGACAAGTGTCTTCATTTTGTAAAGAAAATCAAGTTTGTGCCAATATACCAAAGGGCATTGTATTCTAAGTATACTTCTTTATAATTGGTATTGAGTAGCAGTATGTGAGGGTATGATGAAGTATAATAGTTTTGTTCAAAATGATGGTAGTCTAAAAATTCCATGGACTCATCTCATTATGCAGGAGAAAAGGGTGTGAACAGGAGGGTGTGTCTTTCCATTTTTGGCATGAAATAGTTTTATATAGATGCTGGCAAAATACAGGATGTTAGAAGAGCTCTCAGATCTGATGGTAGACAGAGAAATGCTTCTCATTTGTTGATAAGTAACTTATTAATAATCTTTCCAATTTATAGTATATACAGATAACAGAATCATGTTGAGAAAAATAAATCATTCAGATATCAATTGTATTTATTGATGAAAAACATTGTAAATGCTAGAAAAATGTGGGCAAATGAGTACAAGTGAAGCCATACTTTTAAAAGCTGATTCTCACAACTGGAATGTCTGTCATGATGTATTGTTCCCAATAGTCGACATACATGCAATCAATGTCAATGATTTAATGGCTGATCTTAGCTATTGCTGTCTTGTGGGTTGTACCTTTGGTGATTGACCTGTGATGTTGTGCGTCCTTATTAAAATGAAAAAGCTAATGTCCTTTACAACTGTTTCCAATTTTAGGATGTGTTTCTGTGGATCCGGCGTCACAAGTCATCCATATTCACGGATGCCAAGGAGTCCACCACAGTGTTAGAACTTAAGAAGATAATCGAGGGCATCATGAAGAAGGCCCCGGAGGACCAGCGACTGTACAAGGACGACGTAATCCTGGAGGACAACAAGACGTTGGGAGACTGCGGCTTCACCAGTCAGTCAGCAAAGGCCCAGTCACCGGCCACAGTGGGACTGGCTTTCCGGCAAGATGGTACTTGACATCTAGTTCAAATCTTGATACAGTATGATCCGATTTATACTAGCTACAAAGTTAAAAAGGACCTACCTCGCTGATAAATATTTTATTATGAAAACTATATGATGTAGAGATGGGAATTACTTAGGAAGGAGCACGAAGGAAAGCACTGGACAGAAGACAGTGGAAAGCTGTGGAGTCCCGCATAGTCGACAGAGGAGAGTGGCGAAGATGATGATAATGATATCCACAGTAATTCCATGACTAGTTATATTATAACCATCTGTCAATGTAATGAAGTAGACTCACAGCTTATACCCCGGTATTCATGCCATAGTATTTATTACCGGGTACCTATTTGGATAAGGACAGTACATAAGTCAAAGTAGACTTGTATGGTATTTTGACCATATGTTCATCTGCTCTTTTTCCTCCAGATGGCGAGTTTGAGAATTTGTTTGTAGCACCCCTGTCAACTCCTCCAGAGCTGCCCGACGTCATGAAGCCTCAAGAGCAACCAGGCACACAAGACCAGAACGTGCAGTGACTGTAGTAACTCCCGTAGAGAGGCGCTCCGCTCCTGTGGTGCCGCCAAAAAAATCTGGGCTGGCTGAATGGATGGATGGGCTTTGCCACAAGCATAGATTATCAGTTTGTCATATCCAAAAGTTTAAGTATCATAGAAGCCCTCTGTAAGGTATTAGCTTCCTACTGGGCCCTTTAACCAAACATGTATCCCTCCTTTGAGGTGGGAAGATGCCCTTCTGTTTCCATGTTAAGTTAGAGAGTTTGTTTTAAGATGTTTAGTGGTAACATTCTTTATTAAGCCCAGACTTGTTCCAAACTATAAAGTTTAACATTAGTAGCCGAAGCTATGCTACTTAAGTCCTATCTATGTAATGTTTTGGCGACCCTAAACATTTACCGGTAAGAAAATTCAACGGACAATACTATGTAGCTCAAAACAAGCTACCCACATCTTGTGCCTATTACCACTAAAACAGGACGCAATGTTATCCACAATGCACTCTTTGCCATCAACAAGCTCTAGTCATGGTAACAAAATATGCTACAGGTTTAGTTGACCAAAGAGAGTACATGTGCTGATTTTAAAATACCTGATAAATATAATTTTGTTTTCTGTATAAGAAGTAATGTCAGAGTTGGGGGTAGTAGTAGTCTTAACCATTCTACAGCTTGCCTTTATTTGTTGAAATGTGTTGGTACTGTACATAGTCATGCCCATGCTAGGATGCAAACTCATTTTGTGCTTCAAGCATGTAGGGGTCTCCCCTTCGTGAATTTAGCACATATTTTGAGATTTAGGCTTTAATCCATTTTTCACATTGGAAGACAATTGGAATATTTAGCAGGTACCTGAAAGTAAACAGTCTGGTAGTTTGTGCCCTTACCTCATGCAGTAAATAAAATACCAAGTAAACAATGGATTGTAGAAGTGAGCTACCACAAACTGGCTGCAGAATGATTGGTTGTTCCAGCATAGACAATGGAGAAAGTGCAACATGGCTTAACACTTATGGCAAGCCTCCTGTTTTGGAACATGGCAGTTTTGCAATTCGAGACTATTTTGTAGAAGCTGGCAGTGTCATCAGCGGTTCTGGTGGTACTGTGTAACCGACCAGTAGAAGTCAACTTAAAAGGAATGTAATACTAATAGACAATTCTGCTGCAAAACTGTCACTACCATTTATTGGTCAATGCCCAAGTGTACAGACCAGCTGATGTTGTGTAGCAATTCTCAGTTACTGTTCTATGTAGGAAATACAAATGTACTCTGACATATGCTGAGGATATTGGGTTTGATGTAATGCGGGTTAGGGGAAACGGTTGTTTTTTTTAATCCAAGTAGGTTCTTGTACGAGGGACTATTTCCCATGAATTCAATGGATATTATTAATAGGTAGTGGTGATACAAAATATCTTTTTTTTCATTTGTGCTGGAGTAGTGTATGTTATTTGATGTGGCTGTGGTATGAGGTAACTACATTTAGTCAGCTGAAGATTTCATGGAGCAGAATACGGTAGAAGCAGCCATCTTGTTTTATTGTCATCACAATAACTATCAGGTAGCTTTCTATGTTTTTCTTTCACCCTGTCTGTACTAAATTCAGGCACTCAAAACTGTAGATCCACAATGTAAAAAATACATCATTTCCTCACGGTAGACGTTTTTGAGATGACTATATTCAATTTGATGGATGTCTGTTATTTGGTGATTTGTTTTACTGTAAAAGCATGTTGTGCATGAAAATTTATCGAAGATTCCACTGGAGGTTTCCATGTCAGGTCCTCTTATTCATTCACTCTATGGCTAATAATATCTTCTTGTAACTGTGTAGCACAATAAATTTTGCCTTCCTGTGGAAAGAAACATGTCGAGTCTGTCATTTCAGCTGTAGCCTGGATGCCAGACTGTTTTCTGGGTCAGTACACAGGCCACCCCTTCAGTTAGACCTAGAGAGACAGTCTGGCCAGATGACAATAGAAGAGTCTGTCAACTACCATCAGCTGTCATATTCAGCAATATCTAAAACTTACATTTCTACTAACACTCTGCTCTACTGTACTGTACAATTGCACACCTCAAAAACGAGCAAGAAAAAAAGTACAATCTGGAGTGCAAGTTCCTAAATACATGGAGATGTTCACATTTATGTCATGTACAAATTGTCATGTACATCGATGAGAATATCCTACAATACTGAGTAAACTATAGACTATATTCACAAACTTTGCAAAAATAGAATCACTACTCCTAGTGTGATAGACCTGTCATATGTAAAATACAGACAAAACACTTCTAAGTCATATCTGTTACAGTGCATGATAGTACTGATACACCAGTTTTTACAGATCATACTGGATTATCATCCCAAGAATTTCAAACTATTACACAAATTCTTTAGTGGGCTGGGAGAGTAGTAGTTGAAAACTGCCCTAAAAGGTAGAATGATTGCCTGGAAGTTTAAGCTGCCTAGGCATTTTGGAGAATGGCTACCAGAACTATTAAGAACTGTGCAGCAGTATTTTGACCCATTCTCAGAGTGGATTATGGGTAGCTGGGCATTGTGTTTTATATATATAAATTACCTAGACTTCCCAATAGATGTTATTGTTTCAAGTTGGACAACATTGGATGCCATTGCACTGTAATAAGGCAGTAATTGGTAACTCTGAGTCAGTGACACTTAAAATCCTAACAAAATCAATGGATTGAAACACTTACATGTATGTTTTGCTACTTGTAAAGTATACAAATATAAAGAGACACACAATGCTATAGTAGAAAATAAAATTCAAAACACACAGAGCTACCATACTGCAAAAATACAATAGACAATCTAACTAAGTGCTTTAAAATACCACACTGTGAAACAACCTTAGCTTGCACTCTGTATCTAACTTTATAAGTCTACCAAAGGCACACCTGTATAGAATTGTTTTTTCTATCATATTGGCCTATGTGTAATATATAGTTTTGTACTGCAAAATACTTAGTTTTAGAGATTGTTTGGTGCAATTTTGATTCATCAACCTATCAGGAGTATATGTAATTATAATGACTGTCTCCTTACAGGTAACGTTATTTTCTTCTTACAGGTAAGGCAGTTGTGACAACAGCTTGGCAATCACAATAAGATAAAATCTAACTAAAGATATTGTGAGTTCATTTACGTCTGCAGTACCTAAATTTTGCAATGTAAAAATTATACACTGGTGGTATCTTTGAATTTGCAGTTCAAATCTGAACACGTGAAATACGAGGCCTAAGCGACATGAAAAACTGTGAATTTAAAAATACCACATCTATTTTAAGATTTACAGTACACATGTATAAGACAACCGTGCATTTACCTACTTTTATATTGCATCCAATACAGTGAAAGTCACACATTAGCTTAAACTACAAGAATAGAATTTTCAAGACATCCTTTTTCTAACTGCTGGTTATCAAAATCCACATACATAGCGAAGTTGTGAACATTGGTCACTGCATGGAGGTAAAAAAAAATCACATTTTTTACCTCCATGGTCGCTGTAAATGTGAAAAAAACAACAACACTGGTCCTTGAAAGCTGCCATCATCACAAAGGTTTTTGACAGAAATAAAGACACCATACTAATACAATGTATTCTAAGTTACAAGTTTACCATACTGTCTACATTAGTATTCTAAAAACAGCAAAACTGCCTTCTAGTGTGATACACCAGCTTCATGGGTGCACCATTTTGCTTGAGAAGTGAAAATATAGCACATTACTAGACTTCTCAGTGTTTTTCCAACAACAAGTGACTACTATCAGCAGTTTTAAGGCCAATATTACTGCACAAAGTACAAGTTTTTATGAAAAAACGATCCAATTATGTCTTTTTATCTGGATCTTGGCCTGTCCTCTGTAGTAGATTGTTGATGGCCACCACATTTTCTCCCATTTTGCCCGCAAACACCTTCAGGTCCTCCATAATCTGCTCCTCAGACTGGCCAGGCTTGTTCCCTCCTACTGCCAGCAGGAAGTCTGACCGGTAAGGCACGGCTTTGATAGCAAGCTGGAGGGAGAAATAGTCAAGAATCAGAATCTGAATCAACAACAAATTACATGTGCAATTACATGTAGTGGTAGACTGATGGCAACAGAGGTAGTGGTAGACTGATGAAATCTTGGGTGGAGTGTGTCAAGAAAAACATGAAAGTGCCTCACCAGTAAGTGAACCCACTGGACTGTAGACCCCCTGGAAACATGGTGTGAAGACTACTAGTATATATAAAGCCAACCCCTGTGTCAAGAACCCCGGAACAGTATAATCAAATACATTGTACTGGATACTACTACAGTACATTTACACTTTTTTTCCAGGTATAGGAAAATTGCATTGTATGGTTTTACTGGTACATTTGTACTTACATTGATGACTTTCTGCAGCATCCATGGGTGGAACTTCTTGAGGGTGGACTGGTAGGCCTTCTGGATACTGGGGCTCAGGTTGTTTCCTTCTCTTTCTGACACGATGACGTTCTTCACCATTTCAAGTACATATTCTAAACCCCTGGAGAACATAATGTATAATTTATTGGTATTTATTGGTTTATTTGTTTGCATCAACATATCAACAACATATCTCGCAGCCATGACATACAGGGCTGAATTCTGATCAAGTTGTTTACAATATAAATTATTAATAGTAGGGAAATACAAATTACAATAGATATATAGATATATATCACTTTGGTTCGAAAATTAGGTACTTACAATCTTACAATCGTACAAACTATGACAATCTTACGTCTTACAAACCTTATATCACTTAAGTTTTAACATATATGTAGAATATTAGTCATAACATATTATATAAATCTGACATTTCCATTGTGGGACAGAAGAGAGGGATAAATTGTATTACTATAAGTGGTTATTAAGGTATCTTGTAGTGTGCATGCACATGGTCTGAAGAAGATTCTAGGATCCTAGAAACCTTTAGCCTATTTTATTTCTAAGTTAGGCCACACCAATTTAATTTCTTGGTTAACGGATTCGCCGCTTCATTTTTTTCTGATTTGCAAATAAAAATAAAAATTCAGAATCAACTGCAAAATGCTCATATTTTGCCCTGAACAGTTGAAAACAGTCCTTTACATCCTAGTTGTTACAGTTATTCCATCTTTTAATGCAGTGGTATCATTAAAAGTTCAAAATTCATTGCTTAAATTTTGAACCAGCCTGGTATGTTGACTTCGTGGCTCCTAACGTACCATTTTGGGCCATAATAGGATGCCTAGGCCTGTTTTTATTTTTATTATTTTTTCGCCCGCCCGCTCCATTATTTTTCTTGAAAAATCCGTTAACCAAGAAATTAAATTGGTGTGGCCTTATCCATTTGGCACTAACTTTGTATTGCCTGAGCTATGGTATACAAAGGAACTGGAATCTACAAAATGTATTTCATGTCACCAGTTTTTAATTGCATTGACAAGTACAATGTACAAAAGAGACAATTCGATATACATGTAACTGACCGAGAGCCTCAAAGATGATTTGCACATGAATGCATGCATGTTGGTCACACCCACTCAAATGCCACAAAGATTAAATCATGGAAACAATGCCAGGGAAAGATAAAATACACTCTGCATTGTTAGCTCAACAAAGTAACTTATATTTCTAAGGACATAATCCTACAAACTACATGTAACTGACATCCAATGAATAGATAAAAACAAGTAACCTCAAGCTCAGGTTGCCATCGTGGTTCTTTCGTACCTTTTCAGCCACAGCAAGGCGTCAATTGCATAATCAGGTTTGCCTCCATTCTCTTCCAGCTCCTTTTCCACTATGTCTGTCAGCGTCTTGTATTTCTCCTTGTCAGTCTCATACTTCTTCTTAACTTTCTAAAGAAGACAAGAAAGAAATTGATTGAGGAAGTGGATTGCAGAATGCTATCCACAGATACTAGTAGGCCAGCCAACCAATTATCTGCAATTTAATAAGTAAAACCCAAATTCAGGAAGAAAGAAAGGACCCAGGCTCTCCAGTTCCTCTAGTTCCTTAAATCTAAATGCATGATTGACCCTGCCCTAGAAATCATTGAACCTAGATCAAACAAACTAAATAATCAGGTCCCAATCTAACAATGGGATAAATGTTAGATATAGATAACAGATAAGCCTGTCACCACGGAAACAGAGCTAAGCCCTGTTCAGTAAATATGGGTTATCAGATCTAGCCAGCATATAGATGTGGATCTACATAGATTAAAGGTTCAACTGCAGAGGAGCATAATTGTGGGAGTTGACTACCTCTATATTGCCACTGACGTCAGCCTTAGCAAATGAAAATGTTGTCGGTCCCAAGATATCTGAAATGACATGGAAAAATGAGCATGAGTACATAGACAGAAATACATGATGTGCTCGATCAGTAGCCGGGCCCCTACCAAGCTCCAGAGGTGGCTGGAACGAGTACAGAAACTGGCCAAATAGACGGGGGAGTATGTCTGCTTATGGAATACAGTGGTTTGCAGTAATATGTAACGTTATGTACTTGTTACTTTAGCGGACCAACTTCCCTGGCATGTTATCTGTCTATTTGGCCAATGTCCACTCTTTCCATCTGCTTCCGAAGCCTGGTAGAGGCTAGATGGGCTGTAGTCTTGACCTTATGACTGGCGTTACAGGAGCTTTGTTGTTGTAGTGACATGCATGCATGGAATGACTACTTTATGTAATCTAACTGGTGCATAACATGTACGTGGGAGTTGGTGAAGATGTTGTTTTTTTAGTTCCTTTACAGGTAAACAGTCAATGTAAGTTGTTTTCTTCTGTTGTCTTGCCCCTTTCTCAGTTTTTAAGAGTATTTCCAGACAGACCTTCAATTCATGGGAGATTTAACTTCTAAGATTGGTGATGTAATCTATTTTTATAACCCACTCTACTGGACCACCATACTAGACTTGAGTTAGACTCAGATTTGCATAAAGGCCTAGGCCTTATAGTTATACCGTAGCTCAGCAAAGTAAATCAGTATGTAAGCTTGCTGTTGTCTAGATTATGTACCATATAGTTACATTAGGGTGAATAATTTGCTACTGAGTAGTATATAAGCCAAATAAAATACATTGAATATAGGTCCAAGCTTTTCCCATCTGACAATTAATTCATCTAACCTTTTTTTTTCTTACATCCACCTTTAATTGGCCAATTTCTACAATTTTGCAATCGAAGCAGTTTATGTGACACATTATTTGAAAATGACCTATCGGACGTGAGTTGTCAGCTGCCATGGTAAAATAAACCCACAAACGACGACCGTACGAACAAACAAGACAACCGGCATCTTTTGAATATGTACACCGCATTCCACGGAAAAAAATTAGGTCATGGCATTCGTCTGACGAAGTTAATCACTACTCAACTGAACACTGGTCAAACGGTTCCCCTTTTCTTTATATATACTAGAGCAAGTGTGGACAACCATTTATATGTATAGCGCTGAGTCACAGTCATACAACAAATGGTTAACGTTATGCTGTAACTGATCTATCCCCGTATCCGTACGTAGCGTTACACGTACACGTACTTACCGAAGAAAGGTAACAGTCTCAAGCTAGCCAAAAGAAACGGCCCAGTCTCCACTTTCCCGTCTTCAGGTACTGGCTGGAACTGATGTTCATAATCTGTAAAGAATGCCATTATTATGTCTTTAAAAAGGGCAAAGAAGGAGGAATTCAGCTACTACTATCTTGTCAAGCCAAGGCATCCACGTCGTCGTAACCTTTGACCTGTACACAAAGATTCACACCGCTGCAACATGCAGCATTTTATTCGAATTCTCTGAATCATACTCGAACAAAATACTTATCTTACAGAACAAAATGCATAAGTGAATGATTATTTATCTAAAAACATGTAATAACTTTATCATGCAGTTCTTTACAAGTAAGCAGTGGTTTTATGTGTAATTGTGTCTTAGAGTTTTGATGCGGTGAAAATCCGCGGGAAGTTCGGGGTCAGCACAGGTCAAGTTTCCCCAGGCCATCGTTTTCCTGAACTGAGAAGAAGTCTTTGTCTAAAAACGTACGATTTAGGCCCAAAAAAGCACCGTTCCCAGCCACGAAGCACTTAAACCACTTATAAACCGGACAGAGAATAGTAAGATCAGGTGAGTTTTGAATGAAGTCGTGCTTTGTTCCGGTAGCGTCGCGTTTGTGCTCCTGTGTTTGTGCATGCTGTACAAAAATCACATGGTGCTCGTAGTCTGTTGTCTTTTACATAAGTATGCCCAAGGCGTTCTGCTGGTGAGTTTGAGGCATCAAGGTGCAACATTTTGTTTGTACTTTGCGTGATTCTGTAACAGTCCTGTACATGATAACATATAATTGTACACAACAACGTAATTAAATTCATAATTAAATTTAAAAGACAAATTATCTAAATCACGTACTGTTATGGTTTTAAGAGGTTTAAACCTCCTTGGTTTATCCATGAAATGTAAGGGACCAAATGTTACATCCCATGGCGATTTTCTTTGACATTGAACCATGGAGGTTCTATTCAACCTCCACAGATAAAGTCCTCCATCGACATACTGGAAAGTCGTAAAACATTAAATCCGGGCATGTACAATCTTACTTATGACACTCCTTATTATTTACAGTACCCTGACCATGAGTGGGCCAGGAGACCAGCCCCCCTCCCCCGTGCCCGGCCCCAGTAGTGACAGCGCCGCCCCCAGCAGCAGTGTGAGCGTGGAGCCGTCCCCGCTGGCCGTGTTCCTGGAGTGGAAGAAACGCGTCAAGTCGGAGTACATGAGGCTCCGGCAGCTCAAGAGGTTCCGCAGGGCAGACGAGGTCAAGGTCAGTGTCAATCCCTAAATCTAAGGTCATGTTGCTGGTAGAAACAAGGAGGTTATGGTAGAAATGAGTAAAACTTCTTCTTCTAGCTTCTTCAAAGAGCATATACCTGTACAGTCAAACATGTACAGGTGGTAACCATCTCTACATAAGGAATGCCTGGCCAATACGAGCACATCTATTAGGTATTTTGGTCCCAAAGGTATCTGTATTCTTTCCCATTGACACAAACGTTAAGAATTTTTTCTATGGTGTCCCCTGTCCATATAGACTAGTCAGACTTTGTCGGTTCCCTGATGAGGACACAAAACTAGATTAGATTCAAAGTTAAGAGGCATACTAACTTCAATTAAACATTTACTCAAAATCTAAGCTTTCATGAGTTACTCTAGAAACTCCATGTTTGTAAATTGCACTAGGTATAATATCTCTGACTTGTTTTCCCGTCTGACAGATGGTGTGGGGAGCCAACCGAGGGAACGTGGACATGATCCTGCGTCGTCAGGCAGACATGTTGGAGGAGAAGCCCCTTCAGCAGCTCAGCAGTCCGGCTATGTTTGACCACAGCCCCATCACTCGACAGGTCACACACCATGCAGTTTTACGTCTCTTAAAAGCATGTAATAATGTTTGTGTGATATGATGTAACCTGTCACCACTGTGTCTCTGTGGTACCATGCATACATGGAGATACATGTATATTGTAAGATATTGGTGTACAAGTATTGTAATGAACCACTCTTAGTTTGATTGATGAAATGAAATACAGGTAGTACTTATCTAGTCTTTTTTTCCCTCCAATGATGATGATGATCATGATGATGATGATGATGATACAGGTACTTTCTCTCTCTCTCTAGCTCTTTCACCAGGTTGCATAAGTAGTCCTCTGCATGCTTATGTAGGTTTCATGAAATGATTTTGAATGTTTTTTTTAACCCTGACAGGTCGTGGTTGAGTTTGGCCATGGTGATGAGCCCAAACAGACGACAGTACTGAAGGTGATGAACTCTGTCCCCTCCATCCCTGTCATGTACACATGGGTGCCACTACAGCAGAACTACATGGTACGTCCATGTTCTCCCTATCTATTATAGCATGCGACTTGTTACTATCAAAATATGCCTGCACAGTTTGTATGCTATGCTAAAAGGTTGCTATACAAGTTCATTAAAAATCTACTTTAGTTGTTATATGAGACTATGATGCTATTTTGTTCAGGAAGCATATGTACATGTATTAAAGAATCTGTCAAATCAGCAAAATTGTAGGGTGATGGCCTCTTACACTAAAGTTTTTTAGAGTAATACTTGTTGTCAACAAGCATGGAAAGAAATAAACCAAACCAAACCAAACCAAACCAAAAAAATCTACATTTTTTTTTGTGAGATGCAGAAAGTACAAACATTTCATGATTTCAATCCCTAGCCTGAATACAGTGAAATGTAGGCTCAAGCAAAGTCAAAGCTATTTGTTGGTTTATCTTTTTTTAAGGTTGAGGATGAAACTGTGCTACACAACATTCCATACATGGGAGATGAAGTTCTGGACCAAGACGGGTCCTTCATCGAGGAACTAATTAAGAACTATGATGGCAAGGTACATGGGGAGAGAGGTAAGTCATCATTTGTAATCCATCAATGTTCCTTGTTCATTTGTGAAGTATGATATGCATAGAAATGTTTGTTTGTGTGCATTGAGATCTAGTATGAATAAAGAAGTCATGAATGGATTTTGATGCCATGTACATGCCATGTACTATGTTGATGGAGAAAACATTTTGGTCCAATATTGAACAGCAACTATTTGTTATTGTAGGGTTAAGCTCATTAATTGCAAACTTCATTGTTACTACAGAGGGTGGTTTCATCAATGACGAGATCTTTGTGGAGCTTGTGAGAAACCTGTCTGAGTTAGAAGCACCAAAGTCTTCCTCCAGCTCAGAAGCAGAGAAGGCAGACAGCCAGAGTACTCGAGACAACGAGGATGCTTCAGAAGACACACCTGATGATACAGCTGACTCTCTAAAGGATGTATCTGGCACAGGTGAGGGGGGGGGGAGTTAACCAGACTCCTTGATAATATATTCTACCATGCATATATCTAGTCCTTGTTAACAAAGCACTTACCTATAGTAGCTAGGTGAAAGAAGATGAATCAAACTATGCCTGGTTTTGTATCTCCAACTCCTCAACTTTTCAAGAGGAGAATCCTGGAAAAGAAATTTGACTGACCAGATTGTCCCCCCATGTGTTCAGACCCAGGTTCTCGGAAGCGGTTCCCCTGTGATCAGATCTTCGAGGCCATCTCCTCCATGTTTCCTGACAAGGGCTCAGCAGAGGAGCTTAGGGAAAAGTAAGTAGCTGGATAGAAATACAAGAAATAATGCTGAGTACAGTCAAACATGTACCAGTGACCACCTGGTCATTGTGGTTTCTATGTTGGTCCCTTTAATCTTAATCTCCAAGCAGATCCTATGGTGGCAATACAGTATTCATTGGCCAGAGTTGCTGCATTGACCAGTAGCCACCTTGTAACCATTAGCCATGGTGGCTAATGGTCATGGCTTTGGAAATGGATACTGCCTTGTCAGTAGGATCTGCTTAAAAATTAGGTGTGTCTTTGGTTTGACCAGCTTCCCATTTATAGTGACCACTTTTACATTCATTCCACTATAGTCTAAAGGCTTCACTCTAATTTGTGTTTTTTTCCGTTCTGAAGATACAAGGAGCTGATAGAGCAGCAGGATCCAACTATCCTGCCACCAGAGTGCACGCCAAACGTGGACGGACCGAATGCTCAGTCTGTCTCCCGTGAACAGAGCCTGCACTCCTTCCACACGCTGTTCTGTCGGCGCTGCTACAAGTACGACTGCTTCCTGCACCCCTACCACCCCACCCCCAGCCAGATCAAGCGCAAGAACGCCGACGCTAACAAAGAAGTGACAGAACCATGTGGCTCCGAGTGTTTCGTGCACCTAATAGAGAAGGATGGCAAGCCAGACCCTGTACCCAGCCCATCCAGGAGTAAGAAGAAGGGGAGATTTGGAGGAGTAGGAGGGAAGGTGAAGTCTTCAGAGTCTGAGAGCAGCAGTAAGAAGGAGGGAGAGGGGGATGAGGGAAGTATGGAGGATGACTGCAGCTCCATGAGCCAGCCAGAGTCTACCTCAGCACAGGACGTGGCTTCACCAACTCAAGGTACACAACAAGTGCTCACTGTGGGGTCCTTAAGTGAATAAGATGCTTGGGAAGGTTTAATATGTACAATGTACTAGAAAAAAAAAGTAGAATATTTACTTGTGCTAGTTGTCAATTTTAAATATTTCATGTATACATGTATACTAGCCTTCTTTGTCAATTTTGTGAAAACAGTATGCAAGAACACACTGAGTGTAAATACAATGTACCAAGTCAATGTAGACTTTCTAATCTCAAGTTTATACCATTGATAAAGATTTTAAGGGTTTGATGATAACAGGATCTCCGGTTCCAGGTACAGCAGCTACATGTACATGTACATTTCCCTTTGTCTCAGCTGATGACAGTTCTGCAGACGCTGCCACCCCCACACCCCCGCAGCCGGTGCCTCTCCCGGACGGCTGGAACGGTGCAGATGCCTCCCTGTTCCGTGTGCTGAGGGCTGTCTACTTCAACAACTACTGCAGCATCGCACAGCTCATAGGGACCAAGACATGCAGACAGGTATACGTATGCGCCAGGATAATGGCAATGTCCAGGCAATCACTGTCAGTCAGAGATAGTGGACCTTTGCCGGTCCCACAGGCAGAATGCCAGCACTGAGTGTGTATGGCAATGCTGCATTGCGTGAAAGGCATTGGAAAATGCAGAAACACAAACACATGTATGGACAGACTCATGCAGGCACAAACTCATGCACACTCACAGACAGACAGACAGACACACACACACACATTGCTGACATTCAGAAAGTCTCTCAAACAGCCAAAGAAGATATTTACTCACATTAAGGTCTTCTCAAGAAATGATATCTTGAGACTTTTGCCTCACTACAGGTATATGAGTTTGCACAGTGGGAAGGATCCACTGATGACCTCTTAGCAGAAAAGAACACAACGCCCCCTAGGAAGAAGAAAAGGAAACACAGGTTAGTTATGTGACATGTTAATTCATGTTGGAATACTATTGAAATTTGTTGTATCCTAGTCCATGACTATATCTATCTTGATATCAAAACTTTGAACATGATTTGATTGTGTGAAAATGGTTTTGAAGTCACTAACTGTCAACATGTATTTGCTTCAGGTTGTGGGCAGCACACTGTCGTAAGATACAGCTAAAGAAAGGTAAGCACCTTCTCTAGCCATTATGACAAATATTTTGTACATATAGTAAATATTGCACTTGTTTCAAGAGATTACAGCATTACTTACTGTCATTTAGAAATATTTAAAAGAGTGTTCACATATATGTACTTTCATGATTTCATTGGGTTGGCAAGAAACTGTATATTCACTCAGTCACCGAAACATTGGATGTGTAAACCCCCGGAACCTTCTCTTACAGAGTTAGTATGCTGTGTTAAATAAAGGAACAAATTAAACAAACCCTGCTGTTGTTGTTTCCACAGACAGCTCATCCAGCCATGTGTATAACTACCAGCCGTGTGACCACCCCGGCCAGCCCTGCGACTCCTCCTGTCCCTGTATCATGTGTCAGAACTTCTGTGAAAAGTTCTGCCAGTGCAGTCTGGACTGTAAGTGGCTTTGACATACTGACCTCAAGAAAATGACCATTCAAGAACCTTTGTGTCTTAACTTTTTTTATATGCATCCTAGAGTAGGGAACGTTCCCAAACAATCTTCATAACCCCCACTTCTGCTATTGGGTCAGTAACTATTAGTCCTCACTCTCAGTGAGTTGAGCTTGACTTGCAATTGATCATTGTAGTTTATGAGCTCTGCTTTATTGTATTTTCTTTAACTCTTCTTATTGACATCTAAAAAAAATGGAAAAAAATGGCATTGTATACAAAATAAGTCACGCACTTGTTGAACCACTACATGTACTAATGAGTCCTAATGTTTGTGTTGCAGGCCAGAACCGGTTCCCCGGCTGCCGGTGTAAGGCCCAGTGTAACACTAAGCAGTGCCCCTGTTACCTGGCTGTGAGGGAGTGTGACCCGGACCTCTGTCTCACATGTGGGGCTTGTAAGTTGGGCTTCACTGTAACTGCAGTTTCTTTTGCTTCTGGTACCAGTAGTGAAATATTTTTTCAGTTGTCAGGCAGCCATACAGTTAGATGTAAGGAAGAGTTTATAAAAATATGACATGACAAGAAAAATTACTGACAATTTATAATACTATGTAACCTTAATATGTAAGGTTTTGTTAGTGCTTGTAATGTGATTATCATAAGGAAAATAGGGCTAATATGGAGCATGTATTCTTTGAGAGATGGCTGTGCAAAGTGATTGAAAACATGTTACTAACAATACATGTATTGGAAAGGCTACACCATGCTACTGCATGTAAATTTTAACAAACCTGCCTGACACCCCCTCCTGCATGTTGACGTGCCAGTAACAGCCACTTTCTTGATAGCCTCTGAGCTATTCCCTGTTACAGCTGACTTCAGCAGTAATGACAAAATCTCCTGCAAGAACGTCAGCATCCAGAGGGGACTGAGGAAGGTGAGCATTCGGCACATCATAAGTTTATGACATTATGAAGTTTATAACATTATGAAAACTTTGTGATATTATAAAAAGTTTTGGACATTGCGAAAAAGTTTCTGATGTCATGATATGAACTCTTTTTGTTGCAGCACCTCCTCCTGGCTCCCTCTGACGTTGCAGGCTGGGGGATTTTCCTCAAGACATCAGCTCAGAAGAATGAGTTCATATCAGAGTACTGTGGGGAGGTGTGTTTTACAGTTTAAAAATCATAATCCTGTCCTGAGTAGACTGACGTATTTTGCATGTTTTTGAACTTTGTGGGTTTGAAATATTTCATTTTGTGTTTATTCTTATTTTTCAGATCATCTCACAAGATGAGGCTGACAGACGTGGGAAGGTTTACGACAAGTACATGTGCAGTTTTCTCTTTAACTTAAACAATGGTGAGCCAAAAGACATTTTTCTGGCAATTTTAAAGTGACAGCTTTTGTTACACATGAACACCTCCCTGTTAATACTTTACATACAGTGGAAAACAACTAGATTTGTGATTAAAAAATAAATCTATAAGCCATTGTCAGCATGTGACATGTATATTGTATGTGTTACAGATTTTGTGGTGGATGCAACAAGAAAGGGTAACAAGATACGGTTTGCCAACCACTCTGTCAACCCAAACTGTTACGCTAAAGGTCAGTATTCTTTCTCCTTTTGCCTTCCTGAAAGCACAGTAAGCTTGGGGAAAGGCTTAAATAATTGTCATCTGAATGTCACAAAATTATACAACAGTCCACATACACTTTTAGTTCAGTTTTCAGTCAAAACTGGTGAAATCTTCTGTCTTTTGCACATCCAACAGTTATGATGGTGAACGGTGACCACCGCATTGGGATCTTTGCCAAACGACCCATCCAGCCTGGGGAGGAACTGTTCTTCGACTACAGGTCAGCAATCGTTACTTCTTATGGCATAGAAGTTACCAATCCCCAACAAGATTGATCTTAACTATAGGGTCATATGTCTGAATCCTGTCTGAGTGGTTGGTGCTCTAAACACACAATATACATTTCTCAATTTTCAGGACCACAAATATGTCGAAACTACTATTTTGAACATATAGTTTTCATATCTATATTCATTTTACCTATTTATCGAGGTGACACAAACACTTGAAGCTACACATACTTCTTTCTGTCTTTAAGATGACACAGGTTACTTTTTTTTACACAGGTACAGCCAGAATGATGCCATGAAGTATGTGGGCATAGAGAGGGAACTGGAAGTGGCATGAGGAGTTATTCAACATCACAATAAAACATCCTGCTTTGTAGATGTTGTGAAACTTGAGCAGCTCCAAAGTAAAGTAAAGTGGCCTAAGGCTTTCTTTTTAGATAGAATATTATCAAAGCATTCCAAAAAGATGATCTTGTTGTTCTTGCAGTATTGTAATAATATGATTATGCGCTGAAATTATGACAAAAAAGATGACAACATTGGATTGGATCAAGTCATATTGTCATTATCAGAATTTTGTAGCATCCATAACCTTATACTGATAGTGCCATCTCTAGATGTAAAGATTAATTGTACTGGTACATTTAGTGTGCAATGTGTATGCTTGTTTATAATTATCAACCAGCTATTCATTTCAAAGGGAAGGAATAAAGAATCAACTAGCAAACTAAAATTGTTTGGTTGCTTGATTATTGTAAGCACAATACATGTATGTTCCACTGCCAGTAGAAGTCAACCCTAGTAAGTAAACATACAATACTACACACGATGGTCAGATTTGGGCCCAAAAGTCCCACTCCGCTACTATGGAGATCGAATCCCCCGAACCCGCAAATCTTGTTCGATATGACGTCATTCGAATAGAGCGGGCGTTCGATCCGGGGTTACCCGCGGTCATTTACAGTAAAGCCGCTACAACCGGCTACTTCAAGCCCTTTTTTACTTGGGAACCACGGAACAGGAAAAATCCACCTTTCCACAAATATACATTTCTCAATTTTCAGGACCACAAATATGTCGAAACTACTATTTTGAACATATAGTTTTCATATCTATATTCATTTTACCTATTTATCGAGGTGACACAAACACTTGAAGCTACACATACTTCTTTCTGTCTTTAAGATGACACAGGTTACTTTTTTTTACACAGGTACAGCCAGAACCATATAGTGTTAATTCAATCATTTATGTACATTTACATTTACGTTTCACTTAACTGTAAATATGGCATCTAATATGGTTGCACACATACAATGTATCAGTAGACTCTACCTAAATATAGCTATTATTTTTATACATTACAGTGAACACTTTCACGACAACTTCTAGCAGAACATGCCCCAGCAAAACGAAAATTCACTGAGTGCTTTCACTGTTTTTCTCCAATTATTGGAGATATTTTTTATCCAAAGGTGCCACTAGAGTAGGATTTGTTCAATTTTACCCACTTCATCCATGTTGGTAGAGTACATTATAGCATCAGTCACTGTGCAATGCCAATTTTACCTTAAACCTCAGGTCCCTCTGTGCCTAAATGTAGGCCTAACCACACAATCTTTGTGCACAACTTTGTTGGATAAACATAGTATTATCACATTGCCTTCATACATACAGAGTGAAATTACATTTCAAAAGTTACTCAACATCAATATTATCTATCTATCTAGTAAATAAACATTAATAGATATTGCACTAATATAAGCTTGTACATGTCATGGATATCAGCTTGATTTAACTAAACATACAAACAAGAATTCATTGCCATTTCACCATTGGAATGTGAGTAACATAACAGGCAAACATACTTAGCCTATAACAACAATTATCCTGCACTTAGAATTGGCTTGTACAGATCTCAAGTGGCAAAAGAGCTCTCTTGAAGTAAGCTGGCATACATAATTGTAACAGTTGGAATGTGATGCATGAAAAATAACCAATTTCTCATCATCTTTCACTATAATTGTTTAAAGTTTACAAGTTTCATTTAAAAGCAATTAAGCCTGCAGTACAAGATACTGATGAGGTTACATGATTCTAAACTGTCATAACATAATCACACGTATATGGAATGTTTGGCAAGAGATTCCACATAAACTACTTTCTCTTGAGTATGTTTAGCTAGCAGATCTGGGATTCACTTGCAAAGTCTAGAAAGCTCAACACAACTGCAGCAGCACAAGCATCTTTGACCTACATGTACCATGGCTAGGTCTAGACTCATCAGAGGCCTGCATGCCAATTTTCAAAGCACACATTCAGGATAGTAAGACATCTAAGAAATGGCAGGGCTCGAAATAATGTCCACATACACTGACATCCAGTACACAGTGCTGTATAGGTGCAGGTAGACATCAGAAATACCAAGAACAGCAACAACTTTAACTTCACCAAGCTGGATATACAGTTGGTACTTCAAGTATTGAGTGTTTTTGACTTATACGTCTTCAACAGAAGAGAACTACCTTTTCACATCATAGCTGTTCATAGAAGAAGTAACCTTAATGTCATGGCTTTCTTGTAAGGACACATTCAAAAATACAACATGGAAAAAAAGGTTACCAGGGTAACTGTGTATGTGGTTCTATTCCTATCTAACTGTACACAACACACTCATACATGTGCAGGCCACCATACTGTAATTCTGTACTGTAACAATACAACTTTCCACAGAGCTACTTGCAATGGAAGATTACTCCTAGTATCAGATTATCTCACAGCTTGCTGGTGGATAATGGTACTAGATCCAATGATGATCACTTTTCCAAACACCATTTAATATGCACCGATGTCTAGCAGATACTGTAAAAACATACATAATGTACTAGTACACTTGACTGAGGAAGCATTCTATCCATCATATTGTAAGCATTAAATCTATATAGTTAGTAAGTCTAACAAATAGATTTACATGAACATAACATCATACCATATTTAAGGTTAATAGTTATTTAGTCTGTAAGTACATGTTTTGTCCTGTGTTATGAAGGCTTGCACAATACTTCATGAGACTATAGAGGTACATTGTATAGTTATATACTGTACAATGTCTTGTTGATAAAGTCGATGTTATGGCTTGTTGATGAAGTCGGAAAATAGTTACAGATAATAGTACAAACTTTTGTAACCCAAAGGTTGCTGTTCCCCTCTGTTCAACATGATGACTCTATTCTCTGCTCTATACTGTGACAGGACTGGTGGAAAGCAATGAATTACATTGTACTAGTGCTTCTAGAGAACATGATTTTGGACTGAAAGGTCTCTTTCAACATTCAACAGAACCATCTTAGCTGCAGTCAGTCCTGCTCTGTTCCACAGGAGTCATCAGCTCTGCACCAGGAGATGCCACGGTGTCTACGGCGATACTCTCCATGGCCGGAGGCGGGGGCTTCCGCGGGCGCTCTGTCTCCGCCTCTCGATGTTTGGCCTGAACCGACCTCCTGTGGCGCGTCCTCCACGCGTGTCTGCCCCGGCCGGCGATCGGTGGCAGGATGGCGGGCGCGGGGCGGATCTGGAGGAACAGCTCTGTTGGAATGTCCACGATGAATGGCGAGGGTTCGGGGGCTTTGCCACCTCCTTGTTGAGGAGGTTTCCTGGACGCAGTACTGCTTGCGCTCACCCTCTGGCTGCGTGTGGTCTTGGCACTGGACTGACGGCTGCTGTGGTCGACGTCTGGTTTTGTGGCAGGGGTTGGTTTACCGTTCGCTCTACTCCCCACGTGCGCACTGCCCGCCTTCCCGCGGCGGGCTACAGCCGACAAAGTTCTGTCCTGTGGAGGAAATGATGGCAAACTCGTGCTCAAGCTTGGCAGCTTGGTTTGGGAAGGTTTCTTCTGTAGCCCGGACTGGTTGTCACCACAGCCGTTCACACCAACGGTCTCCTGGCCTGGAACAGATTCCTCGCCAACGGGGTGGTTGTTTGCGTCATCGCTGGCTTTTCTTGTTTTTGTTTTACGCACAACTCGCGGGGAGATCTGCACAATGGCTGCCGGACGCGAGTGAAGTCTTCTTGTCAAAAGCGCCACCTGGCGGTTTTTCCGTGCGAGTTCAGCCAGGTACGAGTCCTCTCTCAGCCGCAGCTCCCGCTCAAGGTAGTAGATTTTCTTCTCCTTCTCTTCAATCATCGACTGGAGCTGGTCCCTCTCCTGACCAACGGCTGTCCTGGCGCTGTCGGGTGCTCCTCTGGAAATAGAGCTGTCCCGTGCTGTCATGGTAAATGCTGGATGGGACAGCACGCTCTCAGGGTCGAACAGCTCCTTTCTCCAAGATTTCTTTGTCCCATGGTGAAGTGAATCATGCTCCTCTGCAAGGTTAAACGATATAGTTTTTACACAAACACTGTAGAATATTATAAATAATAATTACACAGTAGAATATAAATGCAGCTCACATAAAACAATCATCAATAAGAAAATAAAAATACAAAGTTGTTGTTCACTGAAGTTTTTACAACATGTATTTGAATCTGCAAATCTGTATGTAACTGTAAGTCCAACCTAATTCTACTACTTTTATTACCTAACCCTTAGCTTAAGGTACTTACTTGCCCTTGTCTGACTCTGGGAAGATTGCAGAGTAAGACTAAAAGTAAGTTCTGAAAGAAAAAGAACAACTGGTTGAAATGTAAAACAGGTGGCCCCCAAAGTTACATTTTTTGGTGTGTGAAGGATTCATCATACAGAATTACATACAAAACATTATTACAGACAGACATTTGAAGTGATAAATCTGTGCACAATCAATTGTCTTTTTGATGTTTTCTTCCTACACCAGACACTGAGACAGTACCTTTACATCTGGTCTGCAGTCGTTCGATCTCCTCGTGCAGCCCTGCGAGCGTGCGACTGTGTTCCGACCGCAGAAACGACAGAGCGCTCTCCGCAGATCGCAGCTGGTCCTCCACCGACGCCGGCATGTTGGCTTTACTCCAGTGGGCGGCTTAGTTTAATCAGATTAACGTGGCTGCCAGCACTGTGTAGGTGATATGAAGAGGTGTGTTTAAATGAGTAATGGCTATATGAATAATAGATGCTTTTGTAAATAGCATTACAAGAGTTTGATTGACATGTATTGTTTACAAGGCTTGGCTACGGCTAACGAGATGAAAACTTGAGTAATCAACTACAATGCTATTTAGACATTGGAAGACATGCGGAAGACATTCAATTTCATTATATAACGTTAACATATTTGGCAATATGCTTAACGTTATACATGAAATTTTACAAAAATTATATACAGAAAAGGGAAGTTCCAAAATTATTATTATTGAGGCAACTTTGAGGTTTTTTATCAAGTCCAATTGATACCAATGTACAAATGCCTATTTTACGAAAAAAAGACCGCTAAAAGGCATTTGTTGTTCTGGACATAAGACATTTAAATCCTCTCTTGCCATCTCCCCTCCCTCAAGCCAAGAAGAAGCTATGACGATGATCATAACAAATCCGGTCTACTGAGATTACATCCAAAAAACAGACCCGGGACCTACCCACACGCCCGCTACGATCACACACGTTCCCTGGAATTGCACATGTCCCCCCATATATGTCCCCGATCCCGAGAGCTTGGCTCCTAGACTTGGGGAAAACAGTTTCTGCACATCAACATTCTGTCTCCATCTTTGGCATGTCGGCATGTCTCAAAGGGGAGGGCGACAGAACAACACATTTACACGTCTAGGCCTTTAAACTGGAGAAAATATCAGCCAAAAAAGAGTAATACAACTTTCTCTATGCAACATTAGATACAAATTCGTAGTTTCTATTATAACATTGGGTTTGAAAATACTTTTCATTGGTATTTTATGGACATTGTTTTGTTTTATTGGGAAGTGTTGCCCTGCCCCCATGACGTTGCAGTAGGTCAGAGGTCGATCGTCAGAGTTTCCTGGCGCAGGTGAGTCACAGTTTCTGCATAAAAACTTGCAAAATTAAGACATTTATAAGGTTCCTTATGTTTTGATTTTTACGATATCATAAAGCACTATAGTTTGAATGATTTTAGGGCAAGAAGCAACCTGATCAACGCGCTGCTTTAGCAAATTTTTGAGTCTCACATCACAGGATGCGCTAGGAAAGGGGAGGGGCGCAGGTATAAATTTTTGCCCTGTTTTTGATGGCTTTGATTTATCGTTTTAGTTATTATTTCCCAAATGTGCCTGTTTTTTATCAGTCAACCTACATGTATGTGTATCGACACTTTCACCTGTAAGAAAAGAGGATCTTTAAACTCTGACTATAGCTAGGACATCCTCACTTGATGCCACATATACTAACGAATGAATTTATAGGATTTTGAGTTGTAACTTGTAACCCGTTTACTTACTTCAACACACAAGGTAAAGGAAGCTGCAGAAGGATGGAGAAACCAGGGGATGCCGCTGAAACTGTTTCACCACCAGAGGTACCACCTCAGGTACAAGTATTGAGCTCTCCAGGTGGATCTGGGAGAAATACAACAAAATGATCAATCATTCAATGCTAATTTAGATATCCTATAGCCTGGTAGCCATTTTCCATGTGCTGGCTTAAGGGTGTTTAACCAGCACCGGTCTTATGGAGCATGCTATACTGGGGATCTGAGAATCGTATGGTTGTTGTATCAACCTCTTAACTACTAATCTGGAGTATTGGTTACTGGTACAACAGCATTTTCAAGGTGGATAAAGGACTGCAACTGCAAGAGCATGATGTAGCACTTGCAACTGATCTATGATAATCATACCTTTCTTTCTTTAACCCTCTCTGTTGCCTAACCAATCCAAATTTTGTGCCATTGATTGTCATCTGGTCCTTACACTAAGTTACAGTCTGAGGGGTGAAGTCTACCACCTCCTTCTAGTACATGTACATGCAGCCAGGGCTCCAATCATCCAGGAATGACAGTAATTAGATGAGCAGCTCCAACTGGAAGGAGTCTCTCTACCTGGCTGATGTGATGTACTCTCCACTGATCCCTTGTCCCTATTTCCCCAGACCATGGCCACATCATGGGAGCTGCCCACAGAGCTGTGCTGCCGGCCGCTGGCGCTGGTGGCTCTGACGGGGATGGACGTGACATACAACGCCGTACACCGCGCCATCTGGGACGCCTTCAGCGCCAACCGGCGCGCTGACCGTGTCCCGCTCGCCTTCCGTGTACTGCCAGGAGACCATGAGTACCCAAAGTGTAAGACTAAGGTGAGAGTGTGGCTTAAATTTACTAGTATTACTTTATTTGACTGTTACAAAGAGCAAACCTTGAAGAATACAGAAGTGTGATATACAAGCTGAGACTTGAAGGTATCTTGCACTGACTTTAAGAAAGTATGTATTTTGATTATCATCTAGGTCAAAGTTAGGGTGCTTATGTCTGATGATTAGTTCTCTTTTTTCTTTCCTGAAAGATGTACATGTAGTTGTTGAGATTAAGTTCTGGGCTCCTGGTAAGGATATTGCTATCAGTTCCATCATGTTTGAGGAGAGCCACACCTCAAGCACATTTAAGAAAGACCTTACATTTTAAAAGCAGCTTGAACCTAATAACCTTTATTTAACCTACATATGCCGTACTGTTGTGTCACACCACTGAAATTGTATATGATGCAGGTATTAACTCGTATATTTTTCTTCTTGTCCTCCCCCAGCGGCAGTCCTATGAGTGGTACATTCCTAAGGGTATCCTGAAGACAGGCTGGATGAACAAACAGCTGAACATGGTGCCGGCTGTGGTGGTCGTCTTCTTCGACCTGGACTGGGACGAACCACTCTGGAGGGAGAAGCAGATGGAATGTGCCACTAGGGTGGAGGTACATTTAAAAATCATTTTTCTGTCGTGCTCCTGATGTTAGCCATGCATCCTCTGGATCTGAAGTTGACATTTACTGGTGTACTGAAGTCATTCTGTTTCAAATGCTAAGCTTTTTTGTATTATGGAGGAAAAGGCATAGTATGATTTTTTTAAACCCATAGCAGTTTGAAGTAGTCAATTCTCTATCAATTAAATGGCTAGGCAGCAGATCTAGAGAGAAGGTAGATGCATAGAGTCTAGAGAGCCATGTGTGTGTGTATGTGTGTAGTCTGGTTTTGGGGAAGTACATTGTAGTGTTGGGAGAGTTGTGATATGTAGAATGAGTCAATGCTTTCAGGCTTTTAAGCATTCTTACAAGCTTTGTTTGTTAAACTAATGACACATTTCTTCTCACGTTCTCAGGTGGTACGAGCCAGCCTGCAGGGACGCAGCACCCGAGTAGCTGTCGTCCTCATCCAAAAGAATGCCCCCCTCCCCCCTGGAGAGGACATGGTGGCTGCAGAACGTGCTGCAGCTCTCTGCAGTGCCTGCGAGCTGTCAGCCAAGTCTCTCTTTGTCCTGCCACACACCGACCACCTGCTAGGGTATGTAGAATAAGGTTTTGGTAGTGAACTAAGATCTAGAGGGATACTCTGAAGGCTAAAACAATCTATAGTATGTTGTAGACAGAGATAAGTTATTATGACATGAACACAATGTGCAATTGATGGAATAAATATTCAGCTAACAAACCTTTGCTGAAGGAAGGGAGGAAAAATGCAGCCTGAAGCAAAGGTTTCTCAAGAACTGTGAAGTTATGAAATTATTGAAGAAACAAACAAACAGGTGTTGGAAACACTCAGATCTATTAGTTTGCTACAGTTGCATCGTTATGGCTTGAATATGCATTCTAAGAACTGTGAAATTGTGTGACCCTCAAACTAACATACTGATGCTTAAAACACCCATTCTTCTACTTGCTACACTGACAACATTGCCCACCACAGGTACATCATCCGTCTGGAGAATGCGTTCTACGAGCTGGCACAGAACTATTACCACATGGAGGCACGCCGGGTCAAGTCTCACAAGGAGTTCCTCAACAAGACCACCCACCAGCTGCTCTTCGTGCGCCACCAGTTCAAGATCGCCTTCTACAACGAGATGAAACAGGACACACACACGGCACTCAAACACTACAAACAGGTAAGCTGGGCACACACACTGTACAAAACACTACTAGCAGGTTAGCTTGACATGCATACGGCACTCAAACACTACAGGCAGGCAAGCAAGACACATGTACACACACGGCACTCAAGCACTACAAGCAGGTAGACTACTCCTTCATGTTGAACTCTTCCTCTTTTTGCAATTTGGAGCCCTACATTGAAAGAATGGTAACATCCAAAAATGCTTAATTCTTATCAGTTTTCTATACTGTTCAAAATTGTATCCTGACTAGCAGTTGATTTTATTACTCTCTTGTGCAGTAAAACAGTAAAGAAAATTGATTTCTTTCTGATTTTTATTGTATCTTTTTCAAACAATCTGCATGTGGTTAGCAAAAGCTTGCTTGAGGTTGTGAAGCTTCATTTTGTCCTCCTGTTAATTCCCCCTGCCTTCCCTCCCCAGGCCTACCAGCACCTGAATGAGGTCCGTACTCACGACACCAACATGCTGGAGATCAAGACGGTCTCCGGGTTCATCAACTACAAGATCTGCCGGCTGTCTTTCCAGCACAACGCCCCGCTGGACGCCATCGCACAGTTCCGCAAACACGTGGACCTGTTCAAGAACAAGGTCGGGTGTGCAGAGCTTGCCTTTGAACACTCCAGCTGGATCTCCAAACAGTTTCAGGTAGGAGCTTACAAGGTTGTAAAAAGTCTCTGAGGCTGCAGGGCTCCAGACTACCTTTTTGACTCAGGAGTTTTGGTACAGCAGCAATAATCTAGGCACACCGCTATGAAAGTAGATCATCACATTGAATGTTAATTACTTGAATATTGTGTTTTTGGACATAAAAATGTGCAGAGTGGAAGAATCATGATCAGAGGGCAAGAGATCAAATATACAGTCATGACATGACAGTTAAGGTTTACAGTCCATGATAACCTCATAACATAAGACATAAGGATAGGTTAAGACAGATTAGACATTGTAACCTTTTGTTTTTTTTTCTCTTTTGATGTTTATTAGGTGTTTGGAGACTTGTTTGACGAGGCGATCAAGCTGGGTCTGACAGCCATCCAGACGCAACACCCTGGCTTCTACTACCAGCAGGCAGCCAACCACGCCATCACACGCAAACAGCTCTGCCGCAAGCTGTGCGACCCGACGGCCAAGTACCCCAGCACCGACCCCCTGGAGCTGGCAGCCAAGCTGGACTTCTACGGACAGCGACCTTGGAGGCAGGGTCACCAGAGTATCGACCCTCCAGACGCTCAGAAGGAGAGGGAGGGGATACTTTCTCTTCAGGTCAGGGTTTATGTGTTTTTTGTTTGACTGGTTTGGCTCTCATTGTCCTCGGAATGAAATGTGTCAGACAATTGTTCTGCTAAATGCTTGTTACCACATGTGTACTGGAAACTAAATTGGTACAGAATGGAATAGCTAAATGTATGCTATGACTTGAGCAAAGACAAGAAAGAAAATAGCAGACATGGAATTCTGAACGGTTTTAGTATGAGCCATACGTCCTAAATTCTGAGTGGTGCAGGTAATTTTCAATGTTACTTGCACATGGTGAAGGTATGCAGAAAAATGTATTTCAAGCCCTGACCTGTTGTGACATATCCTATTTCCCCCCAGCTGTTAGAGCTGACAGTGGACCACTCCTGGATCATCATCCCGCTGCTCAGCAGTGCAGTGGCCCAGTTTAAGAAGTACAAGTCAGCCCGGATGAAGCGGTACCTCATGGTACAGATGGGAGAGGAGTACTACCATGCCAAGGACTACGGCAAGGCACTCACACTGCTCACAAGGGTAAACACAGTCCTCCTTCTTCTTCTCCCAGGTTTTCTTGCCAATTCAGGCCATGCAGATAGCTTTAGTGCACCAACAGCTACTGTTTCTAGTCAGAGAAGTGTCTCAGGTCAATTTTGTTTACAGTATTTCTTTGTTCTATTGACAGCCGTGTTATGTTTTGTTCCATTTCAGGTCCTGTAAGACTATCGTAGCAAACACTGGAGGGCCTCATTCACTTGTATGCTAAGTTGTGCATACCTGAGTGCATTTCTCTTCTGTTTCAGGTTCTATGGGACTATCGTAGTGAGCGCTGGTGGGCCTTGCTCACCTGTGTGCTGTAGTGTGCGTACCTGAGCCCTAACAGTGTATTTCTGTTCTGTTTCAGGTCCTATGGGACTATCGTAGTGAGCGCTGGTGGGCCCTGCTCACCTCCATCCTGACCTGCGCCCTGAAGTGTGCATACCTGGTAGCCAACGTGCAGGAGTACATCTCCATAGCGCTGGAGCTGATTGGTCGATACACGCTCACGTCTGCAGAGGAGAAGACGCGGATCCAGATGAACCTGATTCGTGTGATGTCCGGGGACCCGCCCGAACCTGAGCCGGAGTGTGTCCCAGGTACTGAAGTTCAAGCTGTGATTAAAACGCCTTTCTTGCATTTCTGAGCCCCAATGGACTGAAGCATTGTAAAAAGAAATCATTTCAAGAAGGCAACCTGTAACAAGGCAATCAGATATTGAAAACTTCACATGCACACACACACACATGCACACACACACTCACACACACATACATACATAAACACACACATACACACATGTGCACACACACGTACGTACATTGTACACACACACACACACACACACACACACACACACACACACACACACACACTGGCAAACACAACCACACACTGTGACAGTAAATCTAACTGCAGCAAAAATCCCCCCCTCCCCCAGATGCAGTAGAGGAAGCCAAACAGCTGTGGACCAGCGAGGCGATCCAGACCATTGCCCAGCCCTTCACCATCGAGCTGCAGAACCTGGTGCCGTTTGTGGAGTGTAAGGCCGGCTTCTCCCTGGCCTCCAACCCACCTGACAAACACATGGTGCTGGACGTGTACCTGTGTGTCAGGTGTCCCTTCCCTATCAGGTCAGCAAACCTGAATTTCTTCAATGTTGGCAAATAACTTCTAGTTACATAGATTAGACATCCAGGTACTCATGAGATACACTAGGAAACTGTTACGAGCGACAATCTATACAGTAACGGTTTCCTTGTGACTTCTAGCAATATATGAGAGCCTTTAGTTTTTTGTTAAATCATTCAGTTTCAGGATTTCAAGCAGAAGAAAACCATGGATGCTAGGTATAACTTTAGAGGGATTTTTTGAAAGGGCTTATGAAGACTTTTTTACCTGAAACGAACACTTTTTTCTGACCCGTCAGGTTTTCCAAGCTGTCAGTGTTGCTCAGCAACCCAGCCTACAACAAGCACTGCACCCTGGCGGATAGCCGCGGTATTGCAAACAGCGACGCGGGGGACGCAGAAACTGGCGACCTTTACCTCGTCCCTGGACAGGTCAAGCATCATCAGTTCCTCCTCATCCCTACAGTTGAAGACGTCGGGCGGAAAGTCGAGATCACTTCTGTCGCCTTGGAGCTGGGCACGCCCGGGACGCGCAGCGCGATACTGCACTGGCAGGGAGGTGGAGGGGACGCCGCCACCAACACCAGCGCACCAAGGGTGATGAGTGGACGACGGAGGGAAGACCAGCCTTCGGAAATCGACTGGGACGGTCTGAGCCTGTACAGCTCCATCTCTGTGGTGCCCAGGCCCCCGCGTGTGCAGGTACAGCTCAAGCACAAGCCGCCGGCACTCGCCAACGAGTTCTACGCTGTGGAACTCACCGTGGAGAGCCAGGAGGAGGATGAGATCACCGAGGTTTCCCTCCACGTGGGGCTGAAAGACGGGCAGGACACGTCGCTCGAGAGCACCACGCACATCTGCTTTGACGCCCCGACGCAGGAGGACGCAGAGACGTTCATCGACAAGCCGCAGCCGCAAGCGCCGGGGCTGAGCGTGGGGAGTCTGCGGAGCGGGGAGAAGGTGACCAGGACCATGTACATGCGCTGTCTGCAGGTCGGGCAGAGGATGCTCAGTGTCAGGGTTGTGTACAACATTCAGGTGAGATTAGACTACCTGAAGTTGGTCAATGTGTATGTATTTGGTTGTGTCTGTAGCTAGCAAAGCCAGGCAACGTTTTCCCCTAGTGTTAGCATTAGTCCAATTCAAGTCACCAATTAGTTGAATCACACATCATTATACTCATGCCACCCAACCAGCTAGTCCCGTCTTGGCCTAGCCTGGGTGCCATCCTCCATAGTTTCTGCTCACTCCCTAATCACGGTAACATTAGGGAGCGGGCGGAAACTACAGAGGATGACACCCAGGCTAGTCTTGGCGTCCCGGTGAACCTTGTTAAAGACATTTGTTGTTTCTTATCACCCTGTATCTAACATGTCCATCCCTTCCCCCCAGGTGAGTATAGGGAAGCAGGCATCTCCCATCTGCTGTACATGTGTGAAGGAGGAGATCGTTCCCATCGAGACCGTCATGCCCGTGGACGCCTCCATCCGCCTCAAGTCCCTCCTGATGGACGCTCTGGAACAGATCCATTACGACGAGCCATTCCTGCTGCTCACTGACATCAGGTAATGGCCTAAAGGTTGTGAGTTTGAATCCCGGGTGACAACCTAAAGGTTGTGATGAGTTTTGATCCTGTATGTTCTGACATCAAGTAACGATCTAAAGGTTGTGAGTTGGAATCCCAGATGACAACCTAACGTTGTAAGTTCAAATCCAGGCTGTTCTGACATCAGGTAATTGTCTATTTTGTAGGTTGTAATTTTGGTTGTCAGGTTGTAATTTTGAGGCCCATGTACATGTGTTCTGATATAAGGTAACGGCATTAAGGTTGTGAGTTTGAATCCCGGGTGTTCTGACATCAGGTAACAGCCTACAGGTTGTGAGTTCAAATCCCATTTGTTCTGAAATCAGTTAAGGAGCCAGGAGTTCCTGGGTGCTCTAACATCTAGTAACAGCCTATATAGCTAAAGGTTGTGAGTTGGAATCCTGGGAGTACTTATAATAGGTTATGGCCTTAAGATTGTAAGTTAGAATCCTGGGTCACATCAGGTGAAGGGTTAAAGGTTGTGTGTTAGCATCCCAGGTGTTCTGATATCAGGTAATGTCCTAAAGGTTATTCACATGAATGTCCCTTTCCATTTAGCTGTGTCTCGCCGTGGTCGATCACAATCAGCTCCACGGAGCTGCAGCTGACAGAGGCGCTGCGGCCGGCCACAGGGCAGCTGGAGTCCCACATTCACAAACTGCAGCTCAACAAGAACGACCGGGCCAGCGACTGTTACTGCCTCACAGCACCGCTCAATAAGATACATCAGGTGGGCACAATGGCAATATCGACATAAAGCTTTTGTGTGGTACTTAAGGCTTTTGTGTGGTACTGCACAGCATATAAAACTGCCCAAGAAAACAACTTAGGGGTCTGATAAAATCTGGTCCATGTGGGCAAAAAGTGGTCACATTGGATGGGTGGTTCTTATATTAACAGGTTGTCCCTTGTACAGGTTTGTCTGTAAAATCTGTCTGTATACCCCAAAGATAAAGCCATGTCTACAATTTTTATAGGTTTCCTGTGTATTTTGATTTATGTTTCATAGGTTTCCTGTGTTACTACAAAAATACAGTGTAGTCCAACGTTTTATACAATCCTGTCTGTTGCCCCCCAGGGGAGTGTATTGATGGGCGAGTACTCGATCCGCTGGCGGCGTGCGGATGCGGACGACTCGATCCCGTACGTGATGACGGTGCTGTCGTTGCCTGAGGTGCCGATCATGAACCTGCCCGTGATGGTGGAGATGGAGCTTCCCGCGCACGGCCGCGTACGGGAGCCGCTCGGCATCACGTACACGCTGCACAACCGCACTGCCACGGTGCAGGAGATGGAGGTGATGATGGAGCCCAGCGAAGCCTTCATGTTCTCAGGACACAAACAGGTCAGACATACTTGTCATAACAGTATTTCTTTTCTATTTTTTTTTTCTTCTAGCCCATAGCATAAGGAACAACCATTGAACTATAGATATGAAAATGAGATTTACCTGAGTATGCAATGTTTACTTTGAATATCAGCTTGACAACATTTTCCAACCCAAATTAAGATTAGACTCACACTCACACAGTCACAGAGTGAAGTGGACAATCATGTTTCTGTTTGAAACATTTGAAAAGTGTTTCGACATTGCACCAAACCAATTTGTAACTTTGTCTAATGACGACATTGTACATTGAGTCAAGTATGATCAAAGAAATGATAGTCATTATATTTCTTGCCATGTTTTTCAGGTGCATTTCCGGCTGCTGCCCTACGGGAAACACATCCTGACCTATAACCTGTACCCCCTCCTGTCTGGCCACATGGTACTGCCCCGCCTCCATGTGAACATGCTGCGTTACCCTGGCACCACCGACCAGATCATCAGCAAGATGATGCCTACTCATGTCTTCATCATGGTATGTGGCAACTTGTTTAATCTTCTTTTCTTTAAGTCGATACAGTGGCTACCCAGCACTGCCTGTGCAAACCCCCCATTTTTCATGGTTTTTGTTGAATTTTTGGTAAACTTTTCATCAGAATTTTGCCTGTTACAGACAATATTTTTTCTGACATAACATTTGGAAACTACAGGCGGAGTGTTAACCTTACATGTGGAAATACAACCTTGTATGCGAAGTTTTACTGAAGTGCTGTGCAGGTTTCAGGCTGAAGTACATGTATGTTGTGCTGACATGCTCATTCTGCCATGCTTGGCTACCCATTCAGCACACCATCCAGCAATTGCTTTGTGCCTGGAAAGTTGTTTTACGCTGTGTTGTTGCATCTGTGTGTTGTTATGTCTAGAATCATGATTTGTTGATTTTCTTGTTTCTACCTGCAGCCCACTGGAAAGGAAGCCATGGAAGAAGTCTTTGCTGGCAGCTAAATACCCTAGCAGCCACATGAAGAGGTCTAATAAGTTATTACCAGAAGTCAGCTCGTCCCAAGAAGACAAACAGGAGATCTTCAATTCCTCGATAACTTTAAGGAACACAAGTGTTGGATATAAGACGGGAGAAAGATAAAAGATTTTCATTGATTTTCAATCCTTACGGATTCTACTATAAACCAGCTCTAGGAATGTTACAGTTGCAATGACTGATAATTCACAAAATATAAGAATCCTAAATTAGGTGTTTCATACGGTATGATACAGTATATATTGTGCATGTAAATGAACATTCCAGTGCTACACTTCAAGCATACTCAATTGGAGGAAAATAGATGAACCAATAGTTGCACAATATCTGGATGTCACCTACATTTGCTCCTGTTCTAAAATTCCTAGAATGCAATGTTGTGGTAACATGATACGATAACAATAGCTTCTAAATCAAGTGTAGTCATTTTAAGAATCTCAACTCTCAACGTTTTAATTTTTTGTCTGACAATACATGATGTAAATAGAGCTTATTCTGTGCAATATTATTTTGCTGGAGTGATGTTTTTTTCTCTTAAGCTATAGGAATAAAACATCACAATAACAAACATGTTTCAAGTCTATATTCAATTGAGTCATAACTAAACATGTGATACATTAAGATGGTTTGTATTGGACATCTAGATACCTTGCCAAGGGCACTAGAAATCAGTTCTGTTCATCCATCAATAAGCATTGTGTCAGAAAAATTTAGAGAGTCTCTAATGACTAGAAGCTTAAAGGCTCGCTAAGATACTGGACTAAGACCAATGTAAAGAAAGTAAAATGTGTGCATGGGTGAAATGCCAGTCCAAGGTATTTTCGGGTCGATATTTCATGCTTATGTTGCCTGTGTTTTCTTCAGCGGTAGAAGAACATGATGACAGACTCTATTGCCAGCCTGTTGGTGCTCCAGCCTGTGTAGGTACCGTAGCCAGCCCAGTCCTTAGAGCTGAAGTCCCCACACTGCTTTGGGTCAGCTTGGGGCCAGTAACCTCCACCACCGATGCAGGCGTTCTCACAGTCTGGACCATTGAAAGCTATCCCCGGACAAACTGCACTGCACGCACCTTCTCCATTAAAAACGCGAAACTGCACATACCCGGGGATAGCCTGTTGACTAGCGACCGCTCCAGGAGACAACAGAGACACCACCTTATCATCGTCGCCTTGCTCGTACAGAATGGGAATTGCCGGTCCGTTGTCGTGGGTGTACGTGCCGAGGCCGTACCCGATCGGGTAGTGATCTTTGAACAGTGTGTAGAGGTTGCCGCCGTAGCTGTCTAGAAACCCGTCTTGCGTGCGGTAACGCAGGTAGGCTGTGGTTTTGTAGTCCTTGGCGGGTACGTTGTTCGGCACATGCCATAGCATGACGTTGGAGGCGCTGATGCTGAAGTAACCTGGGTTCTTGTAGTCGTCGGTAGTGGCCGACCCCATGGAGCCGAAGGTGTGCACGTTGGCCCAGTTGCCGTCTCCCTCGGCGTAGTTGACGCTGTTCCCGCGGGTGCTGGACCATCGATCCCCGGCCGTACACTTGCCGTACATGTCGTCCTCGTGCACGCTGGAGACCAGCGTCCAGCCGCCTCCGGCCGTGGTCATGTCGCAGTAGGTCTGGTAGACGGTTCCGTCTTTCCCGACGAGGAAGTAGGCGCCGTCTTGGCTGGAGGGGTTGTTCTGTTTGATTTGGAGGCAGGAGTTCGCGGGGTTGAGTTCAGAGCCCAGGTCGGGGTCCGTAGTGGCCGCCAGCACCGAGGCTTCAGCTTGGGTCAGGCGATTTTCCAAGCTGTTAACGGTGTTCGTGAGACCCAGAACAGTGGTCTGCAACGACAGGCACGCGTCGATCTCAGCCTGAATAAAGAAATGAAAGTAAACACAAAAGGTTTTGGTTAGAAACAGTGGAGACTGCAAAGGGCCATGCACAATTAAGGAGCTTATAGGCTATAAGCTTCTTGGTACAATGAACAAGTGAGTCGCCAAGATAGATGTAGTTTTTGTCACATTTTGATACATGGGCTGCATTTAAGTCATTCGTATTCACCTGTTGTGCTTGGATGGTACTCTCCAAGTTGGTCAGGTGCGCACTGACGTGTCCACAGCAGGAGGACGCGCCTGTGTTCTCATCTGGTACCTCCGGTTCACCTTTCAATCGCCCGCTGCCGTTTGGAACGGCAAAACCAAGACCCAAAAGGAACGATAGGAGTACCAACGCCTTCATAGTGTACATGGCGCTATAGCTGTCAAGAAGCGAAATGGGCTAGAAACTAACTGCGTGCGCCTTATGTAGTTGTTTTTCCTGCTGACGCAGGTGTGACGTGCACGTGTTTGTTTTGCGCCAACTTTTGAAAACATGTCCGTCGTACACATTATCTATCAAAGGGTAATGAGAGAGTTTGACAAAAGTTTTCAACATTTATTCTTCACCAAGGAGATTACATTCTTTTGCTGAATTGTTTGTAGCTGATGTCTTGTTAATGTATCGGTTTACAGTTTGGCTATACTTAGTTCAACTTAAGGGTTCATTAAAACTTCTTCATAAAAATTTCATATCAATGAAATGGAAAAGTGTTGAAGATACTGAATTCTAATTTTTAGACGAAAGCTTCAAAAACGCCATAATTATCTCAAGCTTATGTTGACGTGTCAGATATGCTGGACTCAGTTCTTGTCCCCGCCATTGCATTGTCTTCAGCTGAACATCGCAACCTGGATGAACTGGAAAAACAACAGAACATGTATTAAACCGGGGCCGTTTTACACGCACAAAAAAGATATCCTAGGATACGGGATTGGCGCCAATCGACGTAGGAGAGGTGAATAAGTACGCTAAATTAAAGAAGTACAGCTTGCCGCTACATCTTAGCTGTCATTAAGCGATGCCTTTAGAAGATAAGTTATGAAAACTTGATAGCTTTCCGGAAAATACGAAAGTCATTGAATTACTAGTAACCAGGCATGTCAGCAGACCTGGCGCCATATACTCACATCGTCGTATCGGAAGGTGGCAACTCCAGTCTGGGCGGTGTCACGGCGTCTGAAATGGTCTAGAAAAAACAAACAACCAGAAAAGAACACTTATTGCCCTAATCTCAAAGCAGACGTTGATATAGAAAATGGTACTGCTTTCTGACAGATAAAAGAAATAGATTCAGCGTAATTTTGAAATACCGGAAGATGATATTGCTCAAGACGTAGTGTGATGTTAAACTGACATGACACTTTCTATGCGTGTCACTGGTTTCCACCAGACTAACGCACCCCCTATGTTTTCATGAGGGGGAAATGAATCCCTAACGGTGGACCCACTCCCCTGGCCAGCCATCAGACAGTATTTTGCCAAATTCTACCATCCTATCCCCCTTCCCCCTTCGGAAAGACTGGTTAAGGCTGGTGTATCTACCTGTCAGCAGCCTGAGGCGGACCGCGCAGGCCACGAAGTCATCAAACGAAATCCTGCCGTTGTCGCTGTAGCGCTTCACGATGACGTTCAGAGCTTGCGGGCTAAGGTTGTAACCTGTACGATTGAAAAGGAACACGTTTTTATATACATCATCATCACTTCCATACCGGCATTGTGAGTGTTAGTAGCCTGGGTACCATCCTGAGAACCGCTATATTAGTCCCCTAACTGCGGCAGGCCGGCAGGTTTACCAGGCTAGTAGCTATAGACTAGTGCTCTGACTCACCCCAGGAGCTGATGGCGGCCTGCAGCTCTCGTGTGGTTCCACGGTGCCGCTCCTGTCCCTGTCATACTGCATGAAGGTGTTTTTCCACTGGTTGAGAGCCGTCCACAGCTCCTTAAACTCGTTAAAACCCATATTCCCGCTGTAGTCGCGCTTGTAGGACGAGTCAAGGAGGTTGCAATTGGGAGTAACGTATCATCATGGAGACGCCTAGTCTTTAAGGAGATGAAACATCTACCAGTTATTTAAGTGTACCTTTTCCTCGGCGCCCTTTGCTGTTAGTTTTGATGCCATGGCATAAATGCTCTATAAAGTCACTAATATTGGGTAGCGATCACACGTCACCTCTTGAGAACGCGAGAGAATGTAATATACAGTGCAAACCTGCTTTGGGTAGACCAACAGTTGAGTAGACCAATGTTTAAGCAGGATATACTAGTCACAGTATCTGTCACGGCTCTAAAACACATTACATTACAGAGTCTGACATTGTATCATAAAGCTGACTCAAAAGGATACGTCAAGCATCGATATCAGGATGCGGCTGGTCTCCAGGCTAAACGCTGTTGTGGGGTAGACGAAAAATAGTTGAAAAAACACCTTTTTATGTTCAAACATCAAATCATATGTCACGTCAAGTCATCTTAACGTCAACTGTGTACAAATCGTGAAGAAGTCTTACGCTGGTAAGATCCGCTGATCCCAGACGATGTCAGGACTCGCTGCAGCTCCCTGGCGTCAACCTGCTGGTCCTGTGGAAACGGTGGTCGACATTATTCATGCACTGCACGAATAGCCAGCATTTTTAAAGTACTTTCAGCAAACAATGTCACTGTGTGGGCATCATGGCAGCGGGTATTGATCACACGCATTGTGGTTTATAGCCCGGTCTGTCAAGAAAATGCAGTTTTAGACTTTCAAGGCTTGCATGACAAGTGCAAGCTCGCTTATTTATTTAAAGATACTGAACATCCTCTTGCAAACCTGTAGGAGACAATTAAAACTCTAGGAGACAATTAAGGTTCACTACTTACCGCTCCAGCTACAGAAGAGAAGTAATCATACAGAGGGTCCTGTGGTGATACCTGTGGGTATCATGGGTGAGATAATGTATGAGAGGGACTGATATACAACAACTGTAACAACAAAATAAACAGTGCAAATGTATCCACTGACATCGCCTTGCTATATGTGTAAATTAAAGGAATCCACAAATATGCCTTTCTTGACATAAAGGAAGAAACAATATAATGGAATTCAGCCCTATATGTTATATGTATGGAGCAAAATATGGGCACTTACTTGTCTCGCAGTCTTCGAGAGGGTTCCAGAAAGAACATATTCTATCTTTCCCAGCAAATCCCGAATTTTGGCTCCTGAGCTGCTTTTTTTTTGCAGAAAGTGGTGTGGAACAAATTATATATATTTTGATACGTACAAATGTATTATGATACACGTCGATCATGGTCACTACCTTTAGTACAAAACACATGAGGAAAAATCGTCCCGATTCCTCTATTAACTATTGACCCTGATTTCTTTTACTTACTGTTTACTTAAAAACAAGCGAATGAGAAACTACCTGTTGGAGGAAACCCCTTCCGCCACAACACCAGAAGCCAGCAAGCACACAAGACAGACAATACTGAGATGAAGCGCCATCTTGTCGGGCATTCGATAATTACAGCTGAGTATGGGTACAAAAACATAATACATTGTATTTAATGAACCAACGAATGGTGGTTATTCCATGCAACAAACGCACCATTTCATTTGAACATTAAAAAAATCTTGCCTTCCCATTGTGGAGAATTCAGAGGCAGCATATATGTGTCAATAGACAACAACAGCACATTACATTTGCGGACATTCAACACAGTGTAGAAAAATTAGCTACACTACAGAAACAAGTGGAACGCAGCAGCAATTTATGGAAGGGATTGAGCCACATGTAGAGCGTGAAAAAGGAAGGAAGACGTAAAATACCCGTCCTTACAAATTTGGGAGCCTCCACCTGAGCTGCTGTCAGGGATATCTGCAAGGTCTGCAATGGGACTCGCGATGTGAGGAAACTTGTGCAACCTGTTCTGCAACCCTTGTCTTAACTCGTGCACATGTCTAAAATCCCCCCCCCCCGAAAAAGGAATCGTCTATGAAACAATGTTACCCTGCATTGATTACCTTTTTGGTTAAATTGAGGCGCCACAGTTCAGTTTCCTAACACACGCATATATTATGAGACACACACACACACACACACACACACACACACACACACACATCGTGTTCCCCACATAAACACTTTTTCAATGGCATATATGATTAAGGCCACAAATGAACATGTACTAAGTAATTACGGTAATCATGCCAAACATAATACAAGACAATGCGAACTAAGGTGCAGGTCAGTGTTTTATTCCATCAGTACATACATGTAGAACCTGTACACACGCCTGACCCAGCACCCATGTGTGATGTAATAGTAGCAGCAGCCTTCAGACATATCAGTCACTTCAGACAAGGTCACTTGTGATGAATCTCAAGGTTCGGAGAAAAGCTTTCCAACATCTGACAGAAAATGAGCATATTACACACTTCTGATCTGTCCCTACAAAAATGTGCATACTTATTGTTGCCAAAGTCTTTTATATTTTCTACTGCTATATTACCGTGTTTCCAGTACGAACTCATTTTGGCAGTGCTTGTTTGACCTAACAGCCATGATATATCTGTGGGTTACTTTCTACCAATCTGGAGTCGCTGTGATTTCTATCTATATCTGTACATTGGTGAGGTGCAATCTTGCAAAACATGGTGATCAGGACAATAGCATACATACAGGAGAGTGCGGCTAGCCAATAACACTGTTTTCTGAATAAAACAACACTTAAATTTCAGCTCTCCAAAAGCCTACATGTATGTAACTGTATGTATCCATATACATTTCACATGTTGGAGTAATAAAAGTAAAGTCCAAACGTCTTTCAAAAATACATGTAAGGTACATGACTGTACATGAGCCAATGTTAACGTTACATTTGAAAATACAAGAAGTGGGCCACTGTTGCTTTCTGGATTACCGGCTACTGTTGCTATGGCTTCTTCTGTTGCCATCTCTATTGTCTGTTGCTATGGCTACTATCTGTTGCCATGGCTACTGTCTGTTGCTATGGCTACTGTCTGTTGCCATAGAGCCCCTCCCAAATGCCAACACATAAATTTTACTTAAGAAATTTCCAGTACACAGATTTACACAGATGACCCACACAATTCTGAAGAAATGCCACCGTAACACCATGATACAATTCACCCATTATAAAAGAATAGCATAATTATACAGCTTTATAAAATTACATTGAGTGTTTACATACAGTCTTTGACAGTATACTTAATGTAGAGTGGTGCTATCATTTGAGTACATCATCTACATACATGTATGGTAATATCATTTATATACAATCACATAAAAGGCAGTGCTCAGTTTTGACTTGAGAAAGTTTACCTTAAAAATTGAAATACTTAAGTCTGACAGATTTTTTAAAGGAATCACTGTGATTCTTTTGGCGTAGGAAATGCATTTCTGGTCAAGGCACATTTACTTTGCTTCCATAATCTAATTCACAAGTGACAGCCATTAGAATTGACATGTTTACCACATTTAAATGTATCACACAAAGTTACTACAATGAAAAGTGTGTAAAATTGTGATACAAAACTACAAACTAGTGACTCTCATGTCAGATTTTTTTCTTACTCAACAGGCTTCTCCTGAAGTACAAAAATATGTGCTTTTGTGTTAAAACATCTATTTTTGTATAAACATGTAAAAGTTTTCTAGCTTCCACAACTGCAGTGGTTCAAGTCTGTTCATAGATTTTCTGACTCTAAACTGTATCTTAATTGACTTCTCTCAAGAACACCAAGTTTCCATAAAAAATGCAATAACAAAACGAATCAAGCAAAAAATAAGGGGATAGGACAAAATATACCAATAATTATCAGGTCACCAACTCAAAAGTTAAGAATTACTTCAATTCGGACCAACCTGTTATTAAGTGCTATAAACAATAAATACTGATACATACAAATGTAGCATATCATGCTGTTAAATGGTTTGCTTCTGATAATCTCCAATGATTATACCAAATCATCAAAATTAATAGAGTAGAATCAAACACACTGTAGCAAAATGGTCTTACTCAAAATTCATAACTTACTGTTAAATTTTGTTCTGGTCATATAAAAAAATTGTGCAGTTCAAACAAACAAAAACTGTTACCTTCCAAACTACATCAGAGCGCAAAAATAATTTGTACAATATATATAAAATACTTTGTACATAAACAGAGATATATCTCTGGGTAATAGTTAGTTATATGTGTGCAACTTATATACCAAATATGTACAAGCACTTCACACAAAAATATGGGGTTTAAAAGTTACCATCATCTCTCTTCCTTAAAATGTTACATATTTTAAGCTGTAATGTATTTAATAAGGGTTTAAATTAGTCATTATCAAATGGATAATGTCTGAAACATGGAGCTTATCTGGTTTCCAATGTTTCCTTTTCAAACATTTGTGTCTCATAATTTGAAAATTTGGGTAGTTAATTGTGTATGTAGTAAGATATAAGGGTGTTTATAAATCTAGAATAACTTATCACATATATTAATAACAGTATTTAAATTCCTTGAATCAATTAATGTTTTTCATACTCATAGCCCCAAAAGCAGTTTAGAAAATCTACAAAGGGTTCCCATACATTTTAATTCCTTCAATCTCTCTTCTGGTTAAGTACATGCTGCTCACCAATGACACATTCTTTTTCTACAAGTGCAATCGTAGGCTATTCCACAGTGTACTTGTGGGCCACTGTAGATTTTGAGAAGACACCAGATTGTATCTTGCAGCTCCCTTATTGTCAACTCATGGGTGCTTGCTGTAGAAACAACAGAAAATTTAAGAACAGATGTTGGTGTTGTGCATAAAACAAGAACAGCGTCAATACTTTCTTTGTGGCATAACAAAACAACCACCAAACATCATAACACATTACCTAATAATCTACATCAAAAACAAAGCAATTATCAAAGGAAAAATAAATTTATCAAAGGAAAAATCAGTGCTATCAGCACCAAAGTAACTGTCAAATGTTCACAGAGGAAGTTTTACAATGAAATATTTGAAGTACACAAAGAAACACACTGTCAGGAAATTCAAAGTTCTTTTAGGTGAGCTAGAGGGAGCTGGAACGAAATTACATCCAAGGCCATGCGGACAATCCAAGAGGAAAATCGAGTTATCGCATTACTGTTGCATAATACAACTTAAATTGAAACAACAAAGAGTCCCTTAACAAGCCCTCCATCAGATCCATTAGTCAAATTTCCAGAACTCTTTTTTAATCTGATGTAATCTCATTAAATCTCTGTCCAAATCTCCAAGCAATTATCAAGCTTTATGTGCATTTGGTTGAGCGCTTATTCATATTAGGATACTAATAACCTTAAAAGCACTGATTACTTTTAGACAGGTGTAGAGAATGGTTCTCGAGTTAACTTAAAGGGGTGTGGTGAGGTATTGTGAACACAGGTTAGATAGATTGTAAGTTTCTATCTTATCCCACAGTCTCACATTCTGCCACAAATTTTGAGTGGCTGACGGATATTTCTTAACAATAACATGGGTACCATCCTGGCTCATCTACGTCTTCTCCCATACCGATATGTGGGTAGTGACTATCTGAGCGGACATAAACTAACCAGGATGGTACCCAGGATAGGTATTTCTAGCCCTAGACAATATTTTACCTGAGATGACTGTACTCTCTCTGTAAGGCGGAGATGCTCTGTTGTAGGGTCAGGTTTCTGGCTCGCAGGTTCCTGACCTCCTCTCGACACTGTAACAGGACAGATGCACAAGCTTTAGAGAGATCATCTGGGGCTCTTGTCAGGATTAAGTCTTAAGGTTAACTCAACAAGCCAAGAATTGATAGAGGTTTGGATAAAAAAGTTTGACAACAGTCAAATTGCAGGGTTTCTTTGCGCTGAGGAGAAATGACATGCAACTAGTCTTCTGAATGCCTTATCATATGGGGTTTGACTGTTATACCTATATCAAACCAACTTTGGTTTGGATTCCTTTTTTTGAAAGTTTGCCTCACCTGATCAGCCTGTCTCTGTTTGTCCAGCATCTCCAAAATAAAGTTGTTGGCTGCAGAGGAACAACAAAGTTTAATACATCACTGGGCTTCATATCAAGTTCACTACTGTTCATTCTACGACATCATACAGAAATGACGCCTTCATATCAATGATCACAAAGGGTTTTGCATTCTGACTCTATATGTTCTGCTTACATACAAAATAAATTCACAGCAGTGCTACCCAAAAACTCACAAACTACCATACTCATATCCCTAAACAATTGTTCTAGATGAACCAAAGCTCCTGTAGTACCTTTATTGAGGACGTTCTGTTGGCTCTGATCGGATGAGTCCCTGCAGTCTGGTATTGCCTGCTTCAGACAGTAGATGGCGCTCTTCAGACTGTCCCTGCGCCGCTGCTCGTTCAGCTTGTGCAGCAGACGGCGGTCCACGGAACCTGGCTCCAACTCTGGGAGGCGGGGTGATTGGAAAAAGAAAATTAACTGACAAGTTCATGTCTGACAGCTAATTATACATACTGGAACATATTGTGACATACATGTGACATTAGAACAGTAACAATAGAATAATTCAAACACAGGTGATTACATGTCGTTACATTGTAATTACCTGGACAAGTGGGGTTTACCTACATTTTGGAAGCATTGGAGACAGTGCCCAGTTTCAATATAATATGTGGGTTCTGTGAACTTAATATACTACACTATTTACTCTTTTTTTATGTTGTATCACAAGCCAATGATGTGAGGTCATGATGCAAGATGAATGTACATATTGTAAAGTACAAACAAAAATCATACATTAGCTGCTAGGTCCCTGTACCTCTTTAAAACCCGGTAATGCACATTCTGTATTAAAAATCTATCATAGACTGTAGGGAAAAGGATAAGCAATTCTAAACTCTCGTCACCCACCTTCTATCTTGATGATCTTGTCCCTGTTCTTCTCCCAGGGTGCCCTGTTGGTATCGTCAGGACCGGGACTGCTCGGCTGGTACCAGGTGTCCTCCAACAATGCCTCCTTGCTGTCTGTGATGGCATTGCAGGGACACGTCACAAAAGCAATTTGCTAACCCTAAATTTCATAGCTAAAGCTAAGATTACATTTTTCTGAACACGATGCAAATTAATTTTTTTAAGACTTTTTTACATAATTTTTGCTCTGAAGGAATTCTTTGAGTCTACTGGAAACAAGATTAGTTAAATTCCCAAGCGTAATCTATCATCAACAAGTTGTAACTGTAAGCCCTCATGCATGTTTGTGTGGCTATACATTACATGACATTACTTAGGGGCCAAACAGGATTTGTACACAAAATCTGTGGGCAAATTATTTACATTATACCTGTATGAAAACATTCAGAAACATTCATAAGCATATATATGAAGAAAATATAGATCTGACTTAGTTGTTTAGTGTAAATTAGTGTTTACTGATTCTGTACTCAGGCTATGACGAGGTTAGAAAGTTAAGTATATATATAGCAATGGACATAAACCACTAGAGTAACTTACCTGTGGTGCAAGGTGCTGAACTGGGCCTGGACAGTGCTGTCTCTGTCGGCGCCAAGTTAAACTGCTGCTGCTGGAGCCGAATCTGTGCCTGCAGAATCTCGAGCGGGTGTCGGTCTTCCCCTGCAGCCACCTGCCTGCTGTCCCCAGCTCCACTTCTGTCCTCCTGGTCTGACTTGACAAATACAGGATTCTCCAGTTGTGGGATTGACTGGTCATCCTGGCTGTAGCCTGCTACGCACTTACTCTCAAATCCACTTTCAGACTGACAGGTCTCTGAAGACCTCTGCTGAGTATACAGAGGCGGGACCACCTGTGTTCTTAAACCTTCTTCCTCAGAAGGCAGGTTCCCCTCACAGGCCTTTGCTTTGCTGCTCTCAGTGGTTTCTTCTGGAACCTCTGTGACCTGTGGAGTCTCTCCTACAGGGTTTGGCTGTAGGTTTGGCCCAGAGGCAGGGTACACGTTCCCATTCACTATGGTGAGATGTAAGGATGTGTCTGTGTTTTGTAATGTAGCAGGGTTCAAGCCACCTGTTGTATCGATCAAGGAGTGGCCTGTGGCAGTGTCTGTAGTTTGTTTCATGCCATCCTGTATGGGAAATGTAGAGTTAAAATCACTGTTCTCTTTGTCTAATGTGTCAGTCAGAACATTTCTGTCCTGTTTCTGTTCCACCATTTCCACGCCTTTGTTCTTCAGTTTCTTTCCTTTCGTCTGAGCATTGTCTTCCGAGTCTCGTCTCTTCCTCGAGGGCACAGCTTCGTTTTTCCTGCTCGCTGAGAGTCCTGCCCCGTTACAACTAGAGTCTTCTGCCTGGTTGAACACTGGTGCTGCTTTATGTACCTCATCATTAGACCCCACAGAAGGCAAGCCCGGCACCTCATCCACCTCTGCTTTCCACATCTCCTGACTAACCTGTTCGTTACTGTCCCATGCCATCCCTCCGTGTTCTAAGACACCCTGAGTTGTATCCTCCTTGCCTACGGTTTCATACAGGTGATACGTGGACCTCTGCAGGTCTGTGATCAGGTTGTGGCAGGCCGTGGACAGGGCAGCCAGGACGTTCTGTGTTCTCGGTCTTGTTGCCTCTGTGGGCAAATCTGATGGCACGGCTTCTCTGTAGTTGTTTACAATCGACGTCGGAACTTGGGAACTATTGCTTAAGACTTGCTCGCTCTTAGACATGCCGTCAGAGGGCCACATGAAGTTAGGCGCTGCCTTTGAGTCTACACTGTTGTCATGCTCTACAACCATAGGCATGGCTGGATGGCTCAGCCTCTGTTGTTGTGAGGGTGGACCTACAAGATCTTGGGGTAAACCGTCTTTAGGCCCCTCAACATTGTTCACAGAGGCAGCAGGTATAGAAAGGCCACTTTGGGTGTTATAACCAGGATAGAACTGATCACCGTGCCGTGTTGGGAAAGACGGAGACTCTGGCACAGGCTGTTCTTGCTGGTAGGCGTAGCCCCTGCCTTCCACCACCGGTGTGTTCTGTACGATCTGAATCTGTCTCTGGAAGTTCTGATCCTTGGCCTCCAGTCTGCTCATGTCTATTTGGTAAGGCACCGGCGGGCTTGCCATCTGGAGTCTCGGGATCTCCACTTCCCTCTCCACCTTGGGCAGGGAGGGGTCGTACCCGACCTGGAGACTGTCTTGGGAACTGAAGACGTTTTCCTCCCCCTGCAGGTGGTTTGGCAAGACACTGTGCTGCTGTTCCACACTGGCGGGGAAGTTTGGTGACCAGGCAGTGCACTGTTCTCTCTCAATGACAGATCCAGTCCTCTGTTGCAGCTCCCACGCTTGTCTGTCCAGTAGTGGGTTGGCAGGTTCAGCTGGGCCTTGTTGTGTGTGCGGCACAGTCTGCATGACCTGTGCGGGCTGCTCACAGGGCCACCGCGCCCCTTCATCCTGCACCGCTCGAAGGGATGACAGATTGGGCGACCGGTGGGGGGGATGCTGGGCCTGACACGGGGACTGGGGGACGGGTCCGCAGGGGGACTGCGGGATAGGGGTGGGGGTCTGCATGCAGGGTGAGAAGCACTGGCCAGACGTCCCGCTCAGGTTGGAGTGGGTGGAGCTGATGCTGGAACTGCGGCTGACCAGCGGCGCCGGCTGCCAAGATCCTGCTGCACACTGTTTCTGCAGCGCAGGGCTGGGTGTGTTCGCCTGGACTGGAGATAACATGCTCCTCTTGTTGTTGTGCGGCTGCAGAGCTCTGCTGTGCGTACAGCATCCGCATTCGCAGCTCGGTCTGTGTGATCTTCTCAAAACTGTCCACGGCTGCACTGTTCTGAACCTGGGCATGTACAGGATGGGAGGGCATGCCTTGGTTGGGAAAGTTCCGATGCTGCTGCCAGTGATCTGTTGGCTGAGTTCTAGCGGAAGCCTCGTTCTCTTGAGTTCGTACAAACTGACCCGGTACCGACTGAGGCATGTCCACCATTCCCTGGTACACCGTGTTTCTGGGATGGTGTTTCAGAGCTACGTTTTGGTGCATCCCGGCAAAATGGGGATAGTTTGCCCCATTGCTGTACAGCTGATGTCTCTCTCCTCCTTGAATCTGCTGTGCGTGGTACTCACTGCGTTGGTATCCCGGGAACTTGCCCGTGGGGTCGCCGTGCGCAATACCACCTGTTTGCGCGTGGTAAGACACATCCTGGTGAAACCCTTGCGCGGCGTGTGCATGCCCGTGTTGCGACTGCGCGCCTAACTGATGCAGTCTTGCCGCATGAGATCGCATCGCCGGGTCCTCCCCCAACAACGCGTGATCCAGGTCCGAGAACTCGAACCCCTTCAGGTTGATACAAGTCTGCGGGTCGAAGCCCTGCTCGTGGTGGTAAGCGTGCTGTGGATGGTGGGCCACCACGTTCATGTACCCGCCCCCCTCCCTCCCCCACCATCCGGACGCACCGTTCGCGTACCCACCTGTTCCATTCTCCCCTACAGACTCCACAGGTACGTGGGGGCGTTGGCCATACATTATAAGTTATATAACCTAAGGCACAACAAGCTCACTCTCCTTTTTCTTAAGGGTAATTTTTCTTGTCCTCTAATCACTTAGTGAACCGATCCTGACAGTAGTTTCGCTTGCTGACAGCAAGCTGCCGGAGTTTACATTGCTTCAGTTATCACAGGTGCGAAGATTTAAATCATACGTGATGTAAGTTGCGAGCTATAGCGGTGCGCCAGTCACATTTGTAGGCGACTTCTAAACTAGTAGAACCTACTGCCTCGGTTGTCTTGGCGCTGGAAGATCGTGTGCTGCTACACAGGTCGGCATTCCATCGCCGTGGCCGGCCATGCGAGTTGAACGAGCCTCCTGCAAACTTACAAGTGTCTCCTGGAGCTGTCAAACTTCGCCTGCAAGGAGCGAGCCCACCGACCTCAGGCCCGGGTCAAATTTCGCCCGCCTGGGGTAGCTCGAAAAACTTTCCGGGGGAACGGCTGAGGCGCAGATCGGGAGGGTTGGGTGGTTTAGTCGGACGCCCCATGGTCTGATCTCGTTGTTTGAGGCCGGCAGCGCAGGAAAAGGCACAAGATGAGGCGAAGACCGAGCCCGAACCGCTCCTCAGCCATTGTCTTCGGCCTGCCCGGTTCACCTGTTCCTCACAGCGCATGCGGGTTTCCCAGAGCCCACTGCGAGCGGCTCCCTTAGGGCCTACATGGAGGTTCCCGGTATCCTGCAAATATTTGTTTTACACATTAACCAAACATTTAGCTCCCAAATACGTCCTAATCCCCTTTTATAACATTAAACGACAAATTTATAGGTCATTTGAGTCGGTACTGATGCTTTCGAATGTTTAATGGCATTGCGGTATTGCTAAAGTTGTAAAGTCAAATTCTTCAAGAGACCCCCGCAGCTAGTGTTGTGTTTGGGTCCGACCATTACTCGTGTAGGGGTCAGCGAATGCAAAATAGCATCGGCTGTGTGTGCATGTTATTCTTCTGGGCCGTAGTATAAAGGTAAACGTTTACATAGACATGGCGCTGCCTCGCTGAGGCCCCGTTTCGACCCGTGTGTGCGTCGATCTGCTGTCCTTTTCAGAAATTTTGTTTGTTTTGGAGCGTTTTGTGCACGCACCGGAAACGGACATTTACTCCCGAATCACCGTCCTTTCACAACCACCTGTTGCATTGTTTAAAACAAAGAGAAAATTTGCGTGACTTTACATGGTACTTAAAGGTTTAAGGTCTTCAAATTACGTATTTAAGTGTTTTCAGGCTCGAGCAGGTATTTGGGACCTCAAATCAGGAAGGATTGGCTCGTCTTTGAAAACGGGGTGCCCGCCCAGGTGACCCGAAAGGTAAAGATACAGATCAGTACGCGTGCATGTATTGAAAGCAGACGTCAATCACGCCTTTGTGTGACGGGCGACTGGCACTGTTGTTTGTCGATGTTTTTGTGAGGGGCTTGTGTTGCCCGTCACTCGCGACTGAAAGGACGGGCTGAGAAAGGAGCCATTACTGCACATCTCAGGTTTCACCCCGAAAACAACAACAGACACAACACTACCCCGGTCTGCACGCGTGCGATTTGCCCAAAACTCATTCCGCCGCCTGCGAACAATGCGCGGTAACTGGGTCTATTATGGGCTCTCTTTTCGAGCAGCCGGAGCGGCTAATGGGTGGAAACTAGGTGATAATTACCCACGGATTTTTGCGGGACAATCGGGCAAGCACGAGCCGCAGGCAGAACAGGTCTTACGGAATGACCTGAACACAAAGTATAAATCAAAAGACCAGGGCAGGCCACGGACGCACAAGTTAAATCACAACATCCTTTGGGACATTTCCCATTGTTTAAGAGTTATTCCAATAAAGCCAACATAACGCTTGGTAATTTCCTTGTTGTGCTTCTCTATACGCTTGTTGTGGAATACAAGTTGGTCGTATGTACCTGCTCACTTACATACGGTAGTACTAGTATTGCAAGCCCATGACACCCCTTTAGGCGACAAGACAATTGCTACGTTTAGTTAACTTTTTTTTTTTCCTACCATAACTACCATGGTCCCAAGCCATGGACTTTATTCAGATTCACATATGGTGTACATGTGGTGTCGTCAGACAGAAAATCATTTTAGATACAAGCATTTTAAATAAAGACGGGTAGATATACTTATGCAGCAGAAGTTATAACGCTGTTATCGCATAATGTCGTAAACAGTTATGGTTTTCTAATAATCTCGGCTTATCTTTATATCTGGTCCATGACAGAAATATTGCGTACTTTGCTAAGGTAAGATGACTGTTGGAAGAATCGCTAAGTAACACTGATTCTAATTCTACATTCATGTGTCTATTAAATATTCGCTCAAAGATTTCTTCCCAATACCCTGTTAAGCGTTTACAGTGGATGAACATATGCATATAATTTTCAACAGTATTACATAGCTCACATTCGGGACTGTAGATGCTCCCGTTAGTGTTAACAATTCTCCATTTATTAAGCAACAGTTTACAAGGGAGTATTTTATGAAGGATTTTGAAATTAAACTCTCTGAACTTATTGTCTTTGATGTTCAATGTTTGTGCCATCCATATTTTTCTCCAGTTCAAACTGGGAGACAAAGTGTCCCAGTAAATTTGAGCAGCAGGTATTGTAACATTCTTACAAACACTAACATGGTACAAGTATCTACTGGTAAGTTTTTCAATTGGGACTAAACAGGAATTAAACCATATCGTATGGTCATGCATAGTATTTATCATGTCCGTTGCTGTATAATTCTCTTCAGAGATCCAGTTCAATCCTATTGCCCTTTTAACTTTCATAAATTCACAAATCCAGTTCTTTCTATCTATAAGGTCACTTAACAGCTTTTCCGATGTTATAAACTCCAAGTTTTCACATATATCATTAACATATATAAATCCACTTTTGATCCAGTGTTCAAAATACAATGTATTATTGCCAACTTTGTAGTTTTCGTTACACCATATAATTTCCTGTCTCTGTTTCACAAGGTCTGTTCTACCTCCTCCCAATTCATGCCATGTCAACACTATCTGTCTGTAGAATGGTGGGAGGGCTCTTAATACTGGAGCATCTCTACTTTTACAGAAATTGAATCGGAAGAGAAGGAAATCTTTCCCAAAATGTTGAATAAAATGTAGGGCAATTAGGTGCCAATGACTAACTGTAGCAACATTGTGTGTCGTCTGTATTAGCCGTTTAACCCATGAAGCCTGTAGGCTTCTGCATTTTAATTTTATGTCCAACATTTTGATCCCTCCATCTAAATAATTTGAGTACAGCACCTTTCTCTTTACTTTGTCAGGCTTATGATTCCATAGAAAAGAGAAGCATGCCTTTTCAATTCTTTTCAAAGCCCACTCCGGTGTTGGGATCATAGTCATGGTATAAATAATTTGGGATATTGCTAGTGTTTTAATAACTAATACTTTGCCGTAAAGAGTTAATTTTCGTCTAAGCCATCTTTGTAGTAGATTTTCCATGCTCTCTATTCTCTTTACCCAGTTCAAAGTCTCGCATTCTTCTTCTGACAGGCTAAAATAGATCCCTAAAGATTTGATAGGTCTATTAGGCCATGCAATTCCGAAGGGGGTATCACTCCGTCCCCGATTGGCCCCAACCCATAATGCCTCGCACTTCTTACGGTTTAGAGTGGGTCCGGCTACATAACTGAAATCATCAACAATCTGTAATGCACCTCTTATGGATTCATCTTCCAAGAGCATAAGAGTAGTGTCATCTGCCACCTGGCTTATCTTTATTTCAGATATGTTATCAGTAGTTTCAACTTTAATACCTTTAACAGTGTCTGTTTGTCTGATTTTGGTTGCAAGGACTTCAACCACAAGGTTAAATAATAGGGCGGATAGAGGACACCCCTGTCTGATGCCTCTTTGCAACTTGAAGTAAGCAGATTTCCATCCTGCATTCATGATGCAGCTTTCTATGTCAGTATACATGGTTTTAACTAATGAGGTAAATGTGGGTCCAAAACCAAACTTATCCAGAGTTTTAAGCATGAAATTCCAGTGAACCGAGTCAAATGCTTTTTCGAAATCTAGCCAGACGACTGCAGCAGGTAAGTTATAGTAGTTAGAAAAATAAATAACATCCTGAATGAGTCTGACATTTTGTCCAATAAACCTGGACTTAACATATGCAGTTTGATCATTAGAGATCAGTTTAGGAAGAAAACTCTGCAGTCGTTTCGCTAAGACCACTGCTAGTATCTTATAATCAGTGTTTAGCAAGCTTATTGGTCTCCAATTTGCTAAGTCCGTCTTATCGCCCTTCTTATAAATAAGTTTTAACAAGGCTCTCTTTTGTGTCACAGAAAGGCATCTAGCTATCAATCCCTCTTTCAAGGCATCACAAACTAGATCTCCAATTTCATTCCAGAACTTCAGGTAAAATTCAGCTGGTAAGCCATCGCTTCCAGGTGATTTATTATGGTTCATAGATTTCAGTGCTAAGAGGAATTTATTTTTTGTTATGGGTTCATCTAGCAGAATCCTTTCCTCTTCAGAGAGAGTGGGCACTTCAACTGATTCAAGAAAAGTGTTAATCTGTTCATCAGAAGCAGAATTATCACTGCAGTACAGCTCCTTGTAAAAGTTTACTTCTAAATCTAATATTTTAAATGGGTTTGTCTCCTCTCTGTTGCCATTCTTTGCATCCTTTAATTTGGAAATGGTGTTTTGTTTAGAGCGGGAGTTCTCAAGATTGAGAAAATACTTGTTGGATTTTTCACCTTTTTCCGCCCATTGCACCCTTGCTCTAACTTGAGCGCCTTTTGCTCTGTATTCATATATTTGTTCTAATTTTAATTTAACTTGCGTATATTCATTTAAGATCTCGTCATTCAAGGTTTCGTCTAGTTGACTTTCCAGTTCTTGCAGTCTCTTTTCTAGTTCTTGGTGTTCTATATTAATTCTTAATTCTAACGTTTAGTTAACTGATGGTTATATACTGGAAACGTTTACCACAACTAGGTCAGCCATTCAATAGGCGACCTTTTGGAAACCCTTTTAAACAAAGATCGTACATAATGCCTTAAGTCATAGCGCCTCCCACTGTATGGGCAACGTTTGGATGCTTCATGTTTACCTCTCACGACTAGCAGGCTACCGTAATCAATTATTTTTGTTAGTCCGTTGACGTTGGCGCAACGTAAGAGTGATTATGACCAGTTTAATGTGTTAAACAAAACTCGCAAACAGCATCTCTCTCTCTCTCTCTCAGTCTGAACAGAATATGACCTAAACTGCGCAAAACGGATGGTACAGTTCCTTTATAAATCATATCAAGTTCCACACCAAACAAATACAAAACCCACAAACACAAAATCTGTAAATACAAAACATCCAAATACAACAAATGTAGTACGTAAATATCCCGTGTCAGCCAAGGTGCGGAGGGAAAGGACAGGTGTGTGTTGACCTATGACCCGTTGCTGTTTGATAAGTAGCATTTTCCCGCCGGCCGGTCGTGGTCTCATCATAATTGGACCTTTCTCGATATCATATCAAAAATAAATATAACGTGGTCTAAAAGTCAAACAGAGCACCACATGCAGTGAACATATACGGCACATATTTTTGCCGACCATATGGAAGCATCACATTATGTAACTCGCTTTGTTATGGTCACCATGGGCTAGACTCCTCCTAGGAAAGTGTAGAGGACATTCCTGGAACATTTTTCTCAGAGGCATCAGGAGATGGGAGACGATGCTTGTGGTTCGAACCTTTTTCTTCTTCCTGTTCGTCTTGAGGTTTTCTGACGGGAGGTCCCTGGACGACTCCCTGGGGATCTCGCCCTGGCTCCTCGCTGCTTCTGAGACTCTGTCTGAGACGGACCCGGGGAGCGGTGGAGGTACGGTCTGCTTCAGTTAAATGATTAAATTCACCTTTATCATTTGTTGTAGGTTAGAAGTAAGAGTGCCGTTCTTTCCTTAGACAAGTCTGGACAAGTCTGCATCATGGTTGGTAGTTTATATGCGCTGCTTTAAAATAGTAAGATGCAGCATTCGGACAACTAAAAGATAGAAACCATATTGGTTTTCGAACAAGGTTTAGGTTTAAAACAACTTTATGCCTACAATTCATGTATTAATTGGCAATGGAAAAAATAATTATGACAGTTCATCCCCTAATGAATACAACAAAGATGTGCCATGTATGAAGATATAAATTATCAGCATTCCGATATATCTACGTAGTCACCTCTGTTTGACCTCGTTTTTAACGGAACATCTGGGAGTTTTCGCTCCTGTCTATTTTTGTCCCCATGTTTGTTCGTCCTTGTCCGCCGGACTTCCAACTCATGTCAATACTGTACAACAGTAAACTGTTATACAAGTCTATGTATTTATACTTTTTAAATATTAGATCTGTAGGAATATCTTGTAGGGTGTTCCATGTGTTTATGACTCATATTTATATATAATATTCACATGGAAAACAACGTAAAGTGGTATTTGGATTACACTTTTTGCTAGCTGCTGTACGACATTTTATGTAGATAGTAAATAGGATACAGGCAACATTTTGACAATATTTCAATCCCTTAGGCAAGTGTGTATCTTGTAACTTAAATCGAGAGAAAATAAAACAAAATAGTTACTAAGAATGAGCGCGTTTGGGTCCGCTTTTCCAAGTTTATACAAGGGTGCTTAGTAAAGACCGTTGGTCGTATATTTACTCCATACACCACGGAGTGCAAATACTCAGTATATTCAACCATTAAGAAATGTCAATAAGGGTAAAGAAAGGGAGTCAGTTCTCACTCCTATTTCATCTAAATACTGCAATCAAACAGATTTTTTTTCGATTTTGATAACAAAATCCTTTTTTTTTCTACAGATCCAGACTTGGGGAGCGGGTATGACCTACACCTCCCGTCCACAGAACCACCTCCCATCAAGGACGCGACCTTCGCAGTCAACCCCGTTCTGCAGCATACCTGTCGGCGCGAAGAGGCCGATGGGTATTTGTGGCTGGAGACCGCTGCCCCGGGTTTGGCAGAGGTTGGGCTTCATGTTATTTGAAAGTTTTACCAGCAAATGTACCTGGTATTGTCATTATTTCCATAGTCGAAAAGGCACGGATATCAATACGAACTGACTGACATTAACAACCCAACATCCGCCCTTCTCTGTTTACTGTCTCTCTTCCACACATGCCTGTTTGATAGGTTTAATACCTGAGAGATGGTGATACCTGTCCTGTTCCTTAGTTCCGGGATCACGGTACTACATGATGCGGCAACAATGTACTGAAGCTCCGGCAACATATCGAATTACCTCCCTGTGATAACAATAACAAAAAATCATGTCAGAGACAGTCACAATAACATACAAATCGATAGCTCCATACGTCACGTTGTCAAGCGTTAAGGACGATACATGTATATAGGGGAATGGTGTTAAGAAATCTATTCAGTCCTGTGCATTCTATTGACTTGTATCATACCTGCATTTTATATAGTATTTTATTCATCATATTCTATTTATTGCATTCTTATCGCACCCTCACCCACTGCCCCTACGGCCTTAAAAAGCTACCTGCCAACATAAGCGTTAAAATTTGTTCATGTTCACTATAAATAGAGTGTCATTACATCAAAATCCTTATATACATGAAGTACTGTTTATCAACTTGTATCTTGTATTTAGGCCACACCAAGTAAAATTTATGGATGACGTCCGCGCGCGCATTGATTTTGGCCTGTTCCTAGAAAAAAAAAAACAAGAAATTCCTGTAACTATGACCAAAGAGTCACGACAGTGCTGCAAATCGTCAGATTGACGTGGAGCCCGTAACGCGAAAACAGGACAGGACGACAACTGCTGTTCCACCTGATTTATTGCTGTTTTGATGATGAATAAAAGACTTCTTGCTTGTTACACTGTGTCACCTCATTCAATTTGTGTCCTAACATTTGTCGTCTCTTAGTATATTTCTAATCTAGGCATCTTGTTTTTTAGGGCCCTTCTTGTTTTTTTTCGCCCTCTCGCATTAGATTGAGGGTTTCCAAAGGACGTCATCCATAAAATTTACTTGGTGTGGCCTTAGGAATTCTATTGCAGATGTTGTTACGGAATGAAGTTGAATGTTCTGCCTCCTGGCCAGGTTCCGTGTATCGGGGAGGAGGCGGCAGGCGGTCCGTTGGCGGCCCGGGAGTGCGGGATAGTGGAAATGCCTGAGTACGGGTACTCTGTGGCGTTCTGGCGGGGCCCGGACTGCAGCGCCTGCCGCGTCTGTAAACCCGCCACCAAGTCCTGCAAGGGGGAGAGCAGCTACGACATGGACTGGGAGGAAACACCTGTAGGTAAGGACCCTAGTGTTTCTGTCACAGCTTGTAAAATCTACGACATCATGGCCTACGTATTCAGCTATTTCTACGTACATGTATGTACTACACAAAGTTCACTGTTCACATGGAGTCATGGGGTGACAGTTTTCTGTTACCAAGGACAGGTATGTCTGTGTGGGAGGGCTAATGCTTGTTTGTTTGTTTGTTTATTTGTTTTCGAGGAGAGGTAGTAGACAAGCCGATGGCCCAGTGTGAAGAGACGGTGTGTGGAGTACCCGCCCCTCAGTATGGCGGTGTGGGAGCGTTCATATGTTTGTTTATTTGTTTGTTTATTTGTTTGTTTACCAGGACAGGTAGTAGAGAAGCCGTGTGACGAGCGGCTGGGTCTGAGAGGGCCCAGTGTGAAGAGACGGTGTGTGGAGTACCCGCCCCTCAGTATGGCGGTGTGGGAGCGTTCATATGTTTGTTTATTTATTTGTTTGTTTGTTTATTTGTTTGTTTACTAGGAGAGGTAGTAGAGAAGCCGTGTGACGAGCAGCTGGGCCTGAGAGGGCCCAGTGTGAAGAGACGGTGTGTGGAGTACCCGCCCCTCAGTATGGCGGTCTGGGAGGTTCCTGACATGACTGAGTGTGTCAGCGCCTTTACCAACTCTACCATATTCCAGGTGATCATGTTTGCTGTAATACATAATAAAATATCTCCGTCACTGAATTTTCAAGTAGAAAACGAGGAGCACAATCTATGCAGATTGAGTTCACCCTGAAATTCCCCTACTTGTCTTGACAAGACCACAGTTGCTAATCACAGGATGACACAACGCCCCACTCTAGCAGCGCAGTCAAATGGAATAGAATGCAGATCAGCACCAAGGACAGAGTAGTACTGAAATGTAAAAGGCGTTGTGTTTGGAGGCTTATAGCACCTCCGCTACCATCATGAAACGTACCAACACAGGTGAGCCTCCTTGTGTCCATGCCAGAATGTTGAGAACTCATGCAGTACATCGTTCTGTCGCAGGTGGCGCTGCTAGAGCAGTACTTCACCATGTACCTGAATTTCACCGTGCAGTGGATGAAGCGAAACGTGTGTCCACCCGAGACAACGTTTAGAGAGGAGAACGGGAAAGGTTGGCAATTGAATAATAGCACAATAATAACTAGCCTTTAAAAGTATTCAATACATAATGAGCATAGCAAATATTTGTAGGTGTTTATGTTTATGCTCTGTGTACATGTACCTTCCCAACATCTTGTAATTATGGCGTGTTCAAAATTTTTGTCATGGGTTCGATTCTTTGCATCCTTGTGAAAGGCACTTAACACGATTTTTCTCACACTCCACCCAGGTGTAAAATGGGTATCTGACTTCGGTTGGGGAGGTAAATGGAGGTGGAAGGGTTCTGCCTTCCAACGCCGTGCCCTAGACACAGTGGATTATCGACGCACTGTTTCAAAAAAGACTTCGAAACTACATTAACCTTTATCGTTTTAACTACCTTTTCCACCACCAGGTGTGTTCAGATGGCCGCTGACGCTGGCGGGTTTCCCGGCGCTGGCGGACTGTCCATACGGCTCCATCCTGCCGTCAGCCCGCCTCATCCGGGATCTCATCCTCGACATCTCGCTCGGGGTCTTCCAGAACCAGGAAATTCCCGTGGAGAACTACAACGGCACCAGCCTGACCGACAACTTCCTCCATGCGCTATGGACCAGCAGCATGGACAACTTCGTGGAGAGCGACGTCTACAAGGTGATAATTATGTTTACCTTTATTTATTTATTTATTTATTTCTTCTTTATACAGGGTAGACGCACTCAGTACAATATACTGCTTTACAGGCGTGCCCTGTACAGGTAGACATAAACACCAACAACAGTAAAAAAAACCAAAAGTAACATATATATATATATATATACACAACCGAGCATCAAGATCGATGGATCAGGCTGGGTCGATAATTTCTTAATTTGCATAATTTCTTCTTCCTTTTCTTCTCCAAACCAATAAGGCCAGTCAATGACCTGAACCTTTCGCTTTAACTTATTTATGTTTGGTTGGATTCTTTATGTTACCTTATGATTAATTGCACACTTGTATATAGTGATTATTTTCTTCTTATTTATTATTGTATTTTATCCTCAGTTACATTGTTTGTATTTTACTATGTTGGGGTTTACCCCCCCCAGGTATCATTGAAAAACGCCGACAAGGCGATATGTATCACCTGGATGAATAAATAAAATGAAAAAAAAAAATGAATGAAAAAACCAGACGTCTATCGCCATGGTAACGTCTACAAGGTGATAATAATGTTTACAGAAGGAAAACATATTGTTTATGCTATGATTCCTCTTCTCCAAACCAATAAGGTCAGTGATCTGAAACAGGCGTCTATCGCCATGGTAACTAGTGTTGGGTTACATCATGTTGCAATTTTATAGTCGGAGGGATTTAGACTCCTGTCACGATATATATGAATGTATTTGAGTAATGATCAACAGTTAACAGAGTAGACCATATGCGAAGGTAAACATCATGCTTTTGCTTTGCAAATGTTACTTTTCTACTAGGAGGGGAAGGAGTTCTTCGAGAGCATCCTGAACAAGACAGGCGAAGAGGCATCCAAGCATCCCAGGCGGCGGTGGTCTGAGGGGGCAGCCGAACCCATCGTCATCCACCGCCCGGAGTCTCGGCCCCGACATCTGCACCATTTCGGCACGTCTGACCACGAAGATAGTGTGGGAGTAGAGAGCTCCAATAACAACGACACAACCAACCAAACTCAAGAACCTCCAGCCAGAAACAAGGTTGGTATGCTCAGTGGGAGACATGAATTTTATGGCCCTGTCACATATTCAAAACCTTGCCCCAACCACCAATCATCCAAGGTTGGCTGACTTTCGGGAGCAGTCTGGTTAGATTTGGCCACGTCTACCTTTCTATATGCATCGTGTTTGAGTTAAATTTAAACCGACTGGACCCCCTAACATGCCTCAAACACCCCTGACCTACTCCCGAACATCAAAATGTTCTAAAAACATTTTGAACCACTGAACAGTAGCCGACCTCACTGAACACCAGTCAATCACAGCCATCCTCGCCCCCAATCTACTCCTAGCCATGATTGGCGGGAAGCTCGGCAGTGTTCGTGAGGCCATGTTAGGCTATATGCAGCGATGACTTAACATGTCACGTGTTACCGCAGGTGACGTGGGAGAACTTCGCGAACGTCCTGCTGCACATGGAGCTACTCTTGCGCAGGGCCAGTCGGAAGTGCGTGCAGAACGAGGACGGCACCGTCAGCTGGACCGAGCCCTTGACCTGGATGTGCCGCTCCAAGGACAGCGAGCCGTTCGAGGACCTCTACAACGTGAGCTCTCGTCGTTTATTACAAAGGCATCTAATGCAGTTTAACGGTGTCAAAATCAGGATGAGGAAATCTGTCTGGTGTTGAAATTGCATGACATTTCTTAGCACACTTTTGGCATCATTTCATAATTGGACTGAAATAGCCCAAGCTATGTGAGGCATCTCTTTATTTTGGGTCATCAGCTAGAACCAACCTGACGCCCTTTCCACGTTCATGAGAGAAAGTGAAGTATTTACACAATATTACAGTTTATTAGAGTTTTCCGTAACTCAACGCATTGCGTTATAACACTTTCAGCACCAAGGACAACACCTAGAGTACAACAAGTAGGCAAAACTACGAAAGACATAAAATTACATAAAAGTCCGTAAATGTGTGCTTGAATTGAATGCTATTCTTGCTATCACTATTCGTTGGACCAATAAGGGACAAAAGACTGCTTTTCATGTCTTTTCGAACTTTGCTTTTTATCTTCGAATTCAACGTCGGCTCATATTTCAACAGATTCTGTCAGACAGCGCCAGGGTGGAAGCGTTTATATCAAGCATAGAACACGTGACCGGTGACCTTGGTAACATCAGGACTCCGGATGTGGAACTAACTCTAAACATGTTTGAGACTGCGCACAAAGTAGACCAGATCTACTCCCCAGAGGTAACACTGTCACTGATTTCCTCCATCCATTTTTTCCCTACCCATCTCTCATCCCACGAATCCCTGTCAAGCAACATTGCAAAGCTTGCAATGTTTCTAGGTTGTGCAATGTTTTAGAATGCACTATACCATGCAGACCTTATCAAATTCTTCAGCCACACTATTGATGTACTTTTCTTGTTTGAAGATTGCCTCTACTCTCATCGAGACGATCAGCAGTCTGGTGGGTTCGTCACCCGGAACGCTGAGTATGGAGGAAGCGCATCGGTTAGTTACTTCCGGCAAAAGTACGATAGCACATACTACAGTGACCTTAATGGGTTGGGCATACCTCGACATTGTTCTCATAAAGATATTGATATCTTAAAGTCAGATTCATACAGATTTCTCTTATCTTGGCCGGACAATTCTTTAGTATTGGTTGAAGCATGTTTAGCATGTGAAGCACATAGCTTCCAAAACACGATGGAGATGGGACTAGAATTTTTGACTAACAGGAGTCTTTCCTTATCTGCGAGTTTTAAAAAGCAGCTAAGACTGTTCTTGACGTTTGCGCCTCCATCCTGTCCCCCAGGCTGATCCTGTTAATCAACACAATCGTGGATGACGCCATGACCGGCAACATGACGTCATACTCAGTCGTGACGGACAACGTCGTCGTCAACATAGAGAAGGTGAGACAGTGGTTAAAAATGATGAGGAAGAATGCAACACCTTTTCGACGAGACTTTAAGACCCGTAATTTTATCAGGTTGACATGTGACGGAATAAGACGGTTCTTTGAACAACGGTCAAAAAACGTCAATGAGAAACTCATTGGTTGCTTGCTTGCTGAATAAAGAAACTGCTTCTCTAGAGATTTAGAGATGTTCAGACAAGGCTAGTAACAACATGCGATGGTTTCCCTCAGGTTGAGCCGCAGGCGTTCCCCGGTATGACCTTCGTGTCTCTGCACAGTCCCTCCAACCTCACCAACTGTACGGACCATGGAGGAGCAGGTATATATTTTATTACAGATCACTTTATATCACAACAGGCAGATTAGAGAAAAGTAACAAGAATTCTTTTCACAATCAGTCATGAAGAGATATCTACAATAAATCAAAATAAAGTAGTCGATTCGCAGCCTATTCCAGGCTCCAGGGCTATTCTACATGCTGGAAACTGTAGCAATCGACCAAATAGACAGATTGTTTCATTTGCAGGTAACCTCAGCCTGAGGAACCACACGTTCCAGACCATCCCGGGTGATCTACAGCAGACAGTGGAGCGGATCGACATCTCCGTCCTGAGCGAGCTTATCTACATCCCGCACGCTGTCTTTGATCAGGCTGATGCCAGGTGATGGCCTTTGCACACATTTTCATTCTATTTATAGGGAGAGTTAACCGGATGAAAAACGGATGAACGCAGCCTCTAGCAGGCTTCAGAAGCGACTGGAAAGAGTATAAATTGGCCAAATAGACAGGTAACATGCCAGGAGAGTTGATCCACAAAAGAAGGACAGTTTGCCGCTCCCGACCGCCTAGTGGAGGCTAGGATGAACGATCAGAAATTCCTTCTAGGAGGCTGAAGGATACACTGACTCAGAGATGATATTATATTACAACACAAAGTATTTTATATTCACTTGTTCATTGCACGGGCATCTTTGTGGATTCTAGCGTAAGATTCTGTAAATGATTATTTTTTTCTCTAGAGCTGCATTGGATGCGAACTGCTCCTGGCACCACTCTGGTGACACGCACGCCATTCAGTTCGTACTGTACGAGAACGACCGGCTTTTCCCTTCTGACATCAACGGGCAAAACGACATACACAACGGCACGAGTTCTAACGAGGACCACGGAGGCCCGAGTCTAGTGTCGCTACAGGAGGACCACCAGCTGAAGATCGGCAGCAGGGTTCTCGCCAGTAAGATCCAGGGACGCTGTGTGAAGAACCTGACGGAACCTGTGGTCATCATCCTGAAACATAAGATGGTGAGAGTGGGCGTTTCAGACTCGTCGTATGTTAGTATTAGGAAATGTTTTGTTCGTATTTATACATACAGACAGGACGAAAAAATGACTATGGTGTGCATGATTGTTAAGAATTTTGATATTACTGTTTTATGTTCTTTTATTCTGCAGAAGGGGAGAACACCTACGTGCGTGTTCTGGGACTTCGATGCTGCGGGTAAGAGATTTGCCCTTCTGATTTTGGTAATGCTAGCAGAGGGGGAAAAGGTACTCTAGTTGGTCAATAGTTCGGGGGTCAACTGGTTACAACAATGGCATTATTATCATTGTGAGGTCATGGAAATGAAGTGTCGGATTTTTGTCCTTTTTCCAAAGGCGGGGCAGGGGCATGGTCAACTGAAGGATGCTGGGTACACCAAACCGTCGATGACGTCACGGAGTGCCATTGTAACCACCTGACTAACTTTGCCCTGATAATGGTACGTTCTTGTCTGAGCGGTTTCCTGAAAGCCTTTTACTTCTCGGATCTACACCGAGATGTTAAAAAAACTCATATTTTCCTAGACCTATCGCAGAAGAGGATTCGCTGTCATACCACGAAGTACAGTAGGGGCATCATCTCTAGATAGCTCTGAACAACGCTTGCAGTTAAGGTTGGGTGTAACAGATCGTTTGGCCGCGGTGTAATATAGCCGCGTGTCTGCGAAGCTGGTGTGTTACGCCGAAGGGCGGTTATACCGACTATGCAGACACAGACATCTTTAACCTTGATGAAGATGATGTTTTTCCCTGTCCCCGTTCAGGACATCTCTGACCAGTTCGGTGCCGGCCCGTTACCGGTGGAACACCGCACGGCGCTGAGCTGGATCTCCTGGCTGGGCTGCGGGCTGTCCATGGTCGGACTCATCGGCACATTAGTGTCTCTGCTGTTCGTCAGGTCAGTAGAATGTAGAAACAAGCACGCACGTCAGTTATCACTAGAATATGATACTGTAATACCTTGGGTTATCTGAAATCTATTGAGGTAAATAACAATTAATGAACATATAGTGCATATATTCATTGATAGGTACTAGCATGGAGGTAGAAGATCTTTTTTCTACCTCCATGGTACTAGTACATGCATGGTGGCAAATTGTTAGTCACATTTTGAAGGCATATTTTTTTCTCTTCAAATGTCAGAGACGTTTGTTTGAATTACCTCTTATTAAGTAGCTGAAGACATCCTGTTGCTTAGTCATTGCACAACAATCACTGTACAAGGTAGGGCCTAAAAAAGGCCACAGGACTACCTTTACCTACTTTACTCCCTCTAGGCGCCTGCGGCAGCTGAAGACAACCCCGTGTCACCTGAACCTGAGCACGGCCATGTTGCTGGCCATGGTGAGTCTGCAGGTCGGCGTGAAGCAGACGGACAGCCGGGTGGCGTGTGGAGTACAGGCCGCGCTTATACAGTACTTCTTACTGGTGAGATCGGTCGTCAGGATTTACTTCTAGGGTTTCTTGTCTAGTAAGGGTCTGCCCAGAAACATCTTGTGATCGTCGTGCAATCGCAAACAGAGAATTAACAGTCGTGTATGTGTCCTGCAAAAAGTAAAGTTGGTTCTTTTATGGAAAAATCTAGCCTTGTCGATGGTTGGTTCTGTCACAGCCTGCCTCATGCCTGAAAACTCTAAGGGGATGAATTCCTCTTAAATCCCTGCCATTCGCTTCCCCTTATTTTTGCAGGTATCTCTGGCGTGGATGGCAGTCGAGGCACTGCTCATGTACCAGAACCTGGTCAAGGTGGTCCTGACGCAACCGCGATTCTTCTTCTGCAGGTCCTGCGTTACGGCATGGGGTAAGACATCCTCAAATCTGCTGACTACAATTTTAATGTCAGAGGATAATTACAGTATGTAAATTTTGTAACAGCACAAGGGGTAAGTTATGATGCACACAGAGATATGATGTTGTATGTCTAGTTGTGTGTTGGTGTCAAGAAGTAACCGGATTCCTGATGTTCCTCCCTCTGCAGTTGTCCCGGCTATCGTGGTCACCGCGTCTGTATCACTTCGCTGGGACTCTTACGGCGCAGACGACAGGTGAGGACAATGGGACACGTGTACGCTATTTAACCTCGTGTAAGGCAATATACAGAGGAGATAGACAATCGTTTAGCGTCACGACCGTAGGTTTGTAACCGAAGACAGGTGGATAGTACTGTGAGGATCAAGCCGAATAGATTTGGCTCGATCAGGACAATCTATCCTAGTGGGAAAAGGGCATAAACTTGCAACGCCATTGACTATAGTATAATGCAACAACATCATAGAAGGTATGAGTATGAATGATATGATGACAATTGTTTGATTTCGGCTTAATATGCACGTGTTGCTGATTGTTTTCTTGAATGTCTCCCCTGGTTTAGATGTTGGATCTCTGACGCTGCGGTGTTCTTCGCCACGTTCTTCGTGCCCACCATGCTCATCGTGGTGTTCAACAGCGCCATCTTCGTGCTGGTGATCCGGTCGCTGGTGGTGAGGAAGGTTCCCGGGGACGGCTTCACCACCCGCCGCAAGGACCGCGTCAGGGAGGCGAGAAGCGCCGTGGGGCTCATGGTCCTGCTCGGTAAGGAACATTCTATGTCATATAGAAAGGCAGCGCTAGCCGTTAATACGGATGTTCCGGACCGTGTGATAGCTACATATAGCCGTATCACATAGGGTTCTATTAGCTGGTTCTATTTAGTTTTAAGATATCACACGGGCTTCGAAATGTTCCAAAGAATAATTCGAACGTGTTCCGAGTGATCCGCTTTCGAAAATTCGAATACTGGATTCGGACGTTGGAATTGATATTGTTGCATTCTTTTTGTTTAGGGACACCAAATTTTCGCATTGTCAGGCAATTTTTCAAAAGATCATATGATGATTTGTCCATCTCAGGTCTTACCTACCTCTTCGGAAGCTTCACTGTGGGCGACGCCCGCCTGGTGTTCCAGTACATCTTCGCCATCACCAACTCCGTCCAGGGCTTCCTCATCTTCCTCTTCTTCGCCGTCATCCCTCTCTACAGGCAGAGGAAGACGAAGAAGAAGCGGTCCGACCTTCACTGCAAGATGCCGGCCAAGATTCAGTCCAGGGTGTCCGTGGTCTCTCTGGACGTCTCCTCGCGTCTTCGCAGATCATCCTCACAATCGACGGTGGAAAGTTTTACTGGGGACTGCGAAGCGGTGAGGAGGAATGTTGGCGCGCTTCCATCTGTCGCGGAAGAGCAACCGGAAATTACCGATGATGACCGACCGGGTACGGACATTCCCGATGAGGCCCGAACAACGAATGAACGAGAAGGTCAAAGATTTCCTGCAAACGCCGTGACTCTGAAACATGACGACCAAAACAGTCCCGATTTTCCCACCCCATCGCACGGGTACTGTCCCCGTGGCCGTGTGTTCGGTCACGGTTTCCTCAGAAGGGCCCACGTGTCTACCTCTGAAAGCCAAGTGGACTTGACTCTATGGGACGACGAGCAGTACTGAAACCACCTTCATCACAGTCACCACTGTTAAATTTTTCTCTCTTGACCTTCAAGCCGTCCAGTTCTGGTTATTCGTCGTTAAAAAAAGGGTTTATCAGAAATCAAGCCCTTAACCCTCAAGTTAGACTGCCTAATGATACACCATGTACCTCATATTGTGAACCTAAAAACCTCACATTTGTAGGACAATATAAGCCATTGTTGATTTGTGTTCAATCCGTAAAACGGATGAAGACCTTTAAATATATAGTCTATGTGAAGCAGACACTAAGCATGCTTACGTCATCTATTACGTCACATGGCGTTTCATTTGTCGGACAACCAGTATGTCCGTTTTGTTTCAAGTGCGATTTCGGAAAATGCTAATGAAGAACCATTGAACTGTTGTAATGTGGGATTATCTTGAGTACCTCAAAAATGAACTATTGACACGTCGAGCCCCCTGCAGGATACAGCTGCCGTGGTCATTGTACGCAGTCAAGTGGGTTTCAGTTTGTATTTCCCAGCTTATAAAAATCTCCAACATAATGAAACTTCTGGCGACAACAGTATCAAGGGCTGGCTTTAATCTAAATGCTAAACATTTGCTTCATAGTTGACTACATTAACTGATTATTAATTTGATTTTGAACTTAAGTTTCCTTATGTTACTTAATTATGTTACTTTTATAATGTCAATGATCACTCTGATTCGAACTCAGTTTATGTTACTTAATTATGTTGATTATTTTAAATTATTCAATTTATGTTAATATTGAGTTGAATTCTGTACATTTCTGTTGTTATAATTTTGAATTTTATGTGGACTCCAGGAAGAATAGTGGTCAGTTGAACACTAATGGAGATCTAATAAAAACAAACAAACAAACAAACAAACATCTATATGTGTGCAAGAAAAAAAAAACATGATAAAATCCCCATCCCCCAAAAGGCCCAGTCGTAGAGTCTGCGTAAGATGCTAATAACCCTGTTGTGGGAGGGGGGATGGGTCAGTTGTTTTGATGCGTTTGAAGAGAACACGTAAAACAAATGGCAGGACATAATTTTGTCCAATGTGCATCCATTGCGAAATCTTTAAGTTCCAGGACAAGAATGCCTAGTACCGGTACCACGACATGATTTACTGTAGAGCCGTGACCTCAGCAGTCAACTAAATATAGATTCTGGGTCAGGAACCGGTCAGGAACCGGTATGTACGGAGAAATTGGTGTTCAGACACGTGTACAAAATTAAATACAACATGGTACAAATCTGGATTATCTGAGTTATAGATGATATTGTTTAGTGTTGGTGCGAGATTTGCCATCTCCATACATCCTTTCATTGCACTTTTAAGACGTTTGATGTTTGATGTTAACATACTTTGCACTCCTTAATGAATGAACAAGGAGGTATCAGGGGGATTTCCTGTACCTCCTTGTTATATTCATAAACTCTTCGTAACAGGATGTATGAGACCAACGAGTAAATTTGGAGCTCCTTGATGAAACAATTCAAACGGCCTAGCTAGCTTAACAAAACGGGAGAACACAAAGGCCACACCGAATCATCTATCAGTCCATTGCCGCTAGATTTGCCTTTCATATGCGCTCGTTCGCTTTTTGTTCATTCTTCTTGTAAAGAACAGAAGATTGTGCGCACAACGACAACCGTACAAATTTCATGAATCTTTAAACAACCCCGCCACAATGACAAAAAGACGTCCTTGTTTGCGAAAAACTGACCCCATTTCGGACGACATGTCCTCAGTAAATCTTGGATAATAAGTCGGGGTAACTGTTACAAACCGCGTATTCCACCTCGTCGTTCCCGTTACCTTGGAAACAGAGCACCGCTTCGTTGCCAGGGTGATGACGCGGCATTCGGTTGCCATGGTGATGATTAGTGTACCCACACACAGGTCGTCACAATACACATCCTGCGTGTCGTCATCAGAGATGGACAAGACTAAAAATGTCATTTGGTAGGGACGAAAATTTTAACACTTATAAACCTTAGAACGCAGCTAGTGCATAGGGACTTATCATATGACATTATGGAGGTAGAAGCAGGGACTTAATAGGAATAAAAGTATTTTTAGCAATTCTCTTCTTTCTTTTCTGAGGAAAATGAAATGAAACCCCAAAAGAAGAATGAACCCTTCCTTGATGACGTCGCGTGGTCACCGGCAGGGCATGCGGTGTTCTTTAGTCCTGCGGTGTAAAAGTTTAATGATGGATGTGTTTGAGCGCCTGTCGTCTGACAATGGAGGGAAAACCGCGCTTGGTCTGTAGAAAAGTCGCCAAAGTGACGAAGGTCAAAAAGTCAACGGAGCCACCATATCCGCACGACAACTCCAGCTGTCAAGGACCTGCAAAGATACCGCAAACCCATGGATGTCCTAACGGACTGGCACAGCCAACAAAGGAAGTAGAGGACTATTACTACGTCCAGTCTGATTATGGTTTGTCAGCAAGGACAGTAAATAAGAGCCGAGCTAGTTCGAGAGCTTCGTCTATTTCGTCCTGGGTTTCCTGGCAGGACCATGCGACTCCGAGAAAGAGCAGGGCCATACAGAGGGTGCGTCAGCTTTCCGAGAAGATCACAGGACTCGAACTTCCACGCCGTCAAACGCGTCTGCGTCTGCCCGACGTGGTCGCCAGGAGATCTGTGTCTTCCCGATCGGCCGTGAACGCGAGTGGAACGCCAGGTTTGGAGCGGCAGTACTCCAAAACAGCCCCGGCGCGGCTGGCGTCAATACGCGAAGGACAATATCTATCGGGTACGTTACATTTTCCTCCTATTCTCAGTAGCACAGAGGCGACCGCACAAAAACGATAGACAGTGTGACGTTTTTCTCTAATGATGAATAATTGAGCATGTCGACTTTTCATGGAGAGAACAATGGACGACAACCGGCCGTTTCAAGGGGACAAATTCTGGGATTTGGCTTCAATAGAGACGAGGACAATTCATTATGATATGCACGGGGATACGGCATAGCAACAGCGGGGACAGCTTACGACAAACTGGTCCCTTGGGTATTGCAAAGCCGCAAAGACCTTGCAGGAAGGATTGAACATTTTGTTGTCACAGTGACAATGGGCAGGAAATGTTGTTGTCGACGTCAAGACCAAGACGCATGACGCAGTCTGTAAGTACTTTGTGATTCTGATCTCCCATCGCTAATTTTTTCTCGTGGTTTGAGCTCCAGGATGTGCTATGTTCATATCTTAGAGACCGCGTAAACAATTTTGTGGCAATGAATAGGTTACAACAAGCCCGTCTCTTCGAGCCCGGATATGAAACATCAAAATGGACTTTTCGCGCATTTGAATGAAGAAATTTAAAGCCAGCGCTGTACAAAAAGAGCAGACTGCCTGTTCCCAAGATGAGCACAGTCAGCCGTTTTCCGCCATTACAAGTGTCTTCTGTGAAGGAGATGGACAAAATTAGGCCAAGGTCTCACGAAATACCAAGGCAGAGTCAGCAGGATGGACAATCCTCCGACAAACCCCGGCCGAAATCTCAAGAACTTCCGCTGATCAGAGGCGCTTCGAGAGCGGGGTGGCGCACAGCGAAGTCTAGAGTTGCGTCTAAAACGCGAACGGACCATGACTCGGCGCTGAGTTTGAAACCACCGCCTGGCCACACGGGGCGCACCCCGTCCCCGGGTCTCAGGCCTCGGGCGGGGTGGGAGAAACAAGATGGCGCCAGGACCCCGTCAGAGGAGATGGACGATCTCAACCGGTCCAGCAGAAACAGGTTCTATCGAACCGCTGCCATGGCAACGAGGTCCCAGACACTCCTGGATATCAGCCGCCATCTTGTCCCTCCAATCGCTGGTCAAAATCAACGACGGGAAAGCGACTTTCAGGAAACGAAAACGACTGAGATGAAAAGTGAAGCAGTCGACGAGAAATATGGTTGGCAGTCAACGGATAATGTTACACTTACGTCAAGTACTGTTAGGTTGACTCAAGAAGCCGTAAGTCTAACGGTAAGAGATCTTTATTCACCTCTTGTGAATGATGATGTGTGTGAAGATAGCAACAATAGAGAAGAGACATGGGACTATAGTTCGATGCGTTTGAACAAAATTCAACAACCAGGAGGAGTCGAAGTAGTTAACTCAACTCTCGGGGATAAGATCTCGCGTGGAGACGACAAAGGTCGAGAACAAATAGAGCACCGCAGCCTCATACATTTGAACCAAAAGCACGGCAAAGAAACATTTGTTTCAACTCTCGTGGGTACACGTAGGAACTCGCGTAAAGATGGGGACGACCAAGAAGAGAGACAGGACAAAAGTCATAACACATCGGCGAGAGAATCACCAGAAGACGTGTACTTGAGCGCCGGTCTCTCGTACGGTTACAAGTTGCGGAATGAAATCTCCAGATGGGGTAACCAGGACAGCTCCAGGTTTTCTCACTCCTTAAAGCTGCTGAATCGCATCGAATCGGGCATAGGGAGCATGCTGGGGGGAAAAACACTACAGAGTGCGGAATGTGAAGAGAAATTACAGAGAGAAACGGAGAATTCGTTGCCGAACTTACAGATCAGTGAAAATGCCTCGGAAGATCCTTTGGCTTCGGACAATACGCTGACACGTACACGCATGAATGAAGGAAAAGAAGATGAAAACTCTGAAGGAAAAGGACAAATATTCACATCACACGGACGCGATGAGACTGACAGTAATCTAGCGACCACAAACACGCCTACCCGGGAGTACACTAAACCAGCGAGAAACGCGAACTCTTGGTGCCAAACGTCGTACGGTGACTACTACGTCACAACACTTGAGGAGAAAAGACAACCAAATCCGACACAAGGGCGTCAGAAAAACGGAAAGACTCTTGTTAGTGGAGAACTCCACACGTATGAGGACTATTTCATTTCCTTAGATAGTAGAAGTAAGTTCAAGAGGGTTTGACCAACGTTTTTGGAGTTAGATGTGTATATAATAATATTAGACATTTCAGTGAATGTGATTCCAACATGTAACGTGGAGTCTCTCAAAGCGATTCTTCCCTTCTCAAACACGTCATCTTGCGACTACACCGAAAATTGCAGACTTCCGTCTCAAAAGACCAATTTCCGAAATCCGAATACATGTAGTAGTACATATACGGCTTTATTTCATGCTTTATCGTAGTCGGAATTCAATATTATTATATCGCCCTGTATCATGTAAGGGCAGATTCCGTCTCTACCACAACCATAGGAACATTTGCACGAAGAGAATATATCAAAACTACCACGATGCTTCTTGTAACCATTCCTCAAATAATCTGTATCAGTATAGCCGGTATAACCGCCCTTTGGCGTAACACACCATCTAATCCTTTAGTTATAGAAATACTTACTTCCTTGTATCTACATTTAGCTCTTTGGCGCCAATAAATATGTCGCCTGATTCATGTCTTTTCCGCTTATATCAATATATGTTATACACACCACGCCTTGTACGTAATTAGTAGGTCGAGAAAAATGATAGAACAGACAATTTCATTTGTTCTACTTTTAATAGGGGACTTCCTCTTTTATTTACAGTATTCAGAATACACTTTATTATAGCAGATACCTTTAATTCCAGTTATATATTGTTACAGTGTTATCTTAAGTCGCAGAGATCGAGAGAGGCTCAGAGACGTATTATTTACAGTTATCAGATTCCACATATACAGACTGAATACTTATAACAAGTCCAGCATACATACGCGTTTAATTTCACTGCACACAGTTGTTGTAGCATCGGCAGTGGGCATTGTAACAATAAGCGTTTTACCTTTCCTAGACATACACGGCAATTATATGCTGGAATTTATTTACAGAGTACATACATGGGAAGTAAAAAAAGATGTACACATAGTAACCAAAACATAGACAGTGCCGCAAATTTGTGTTGAGGCGTTACGTTTTACAATAAATACTGTTGAGTAATATGCCCTAACTGCTTAGCATGGCTGATAGAGACGACGTGCTTTCCAGAACTGACTGTAAACATATGCTTATAAAAATTACGTCGGAAAGTATTTCTTTATATCTCTTTACATTTATTCCGTCCCGTTATAACTTCCCCTAATAAAGATATATCCAGTTACATGACCACTTGGTATTGAGTACTCTTAGACTACTTCTTGGCCTTGACTGTTTTGCATCTCCGGAAAGAGCGATAGAACGCGACCCTCCTCCAGAAGTCCTCGTACAGAATATGACCTTTGACCGGCACCCTGTACTCGAAGCCCTGCAGGTTCATCAGGCACATCCCCCTCCCGTTCATATGGAACAGTCTCAGGTCCACTGTAATGTCGTGCCGAGCCGCTAGGTGTCGCAACCAGGTGCGCACGTCTCTCAGGTCCCACGACAGCGGATCTGTAGAAGTGTGGAAACGAAAAAGATTTCTATGGATTAAATCATCTAATACTAAGTTACTATCTAGCATGTCTGTGCATGATATGGGAGGGGGAGTGCATGATATGGGAGGGGGAATGCTAAAAGAGAATGGGCTTCTTTTTCACCCTCCTCGTGAGAGGTGTGAGAAAAGTACTGATGTTCGTAGTAACATTTCTGCGTGAATGTTCGAATCGTTGACAAGGTTGGAAAAATTGATAATAAAAGAGAAGGGGCTTCTTTTTCCCTTCCTCGTGAGTGGTGTAAGAAAAGTATTAAATTTAATGCTCGTAGTGACCTTTCTGCTGGTATGTTAACATTGAATCGTTGCCAAGGTTTAGAAAAAAGAGTATTTCATTGTTTGACTGAAATGTAGGCAGTGTTTTTGTTAACGACGGGCGTTTTGTCATGTGTCATTGCAGAAGAGAAGCATAACTACAATTGGTAACTGTTACATATCGACATGTAGTGTATATATGACAAACAAAAGTTGCAGAAGTGCTGTTCTCCAAACTGTCTATTTTGATTGTGTGTGATGAAAGGAAAGAGGAACAGAATATCCAATACTTTGTGATGTTATAATTATATATATATATAAACGTTATAGCTGGAATCAGTATCCTTATAAATTATTTTGTTTACTAAATACATGTACATGTACTTTCCAATAGTGGCTACGGCGACTGAGCGACCAAATATTTGACACTCATCGCTCAACAAATTTAAAAGATAACCGTAAAGAAAGACTTGTTTAAAGTTTAGATTCAATTTCTAAAACACGTCCTTACCAAGGGGAATCTGTAACGTCATCACTGACGTCACGGTGTGGACCTGAGCGCGTCTCCTGGTTGGACGTTCCGATATGACGTCATCGGCAGCTTTCTCTCGACTTGTCCTGTCGTCGATCTATGGAGAAGATGAAATAAAAAATGAATTTATGACCCAACCTTACAAATTGACAACTAAGGTCGACACCTGTTCCTGTTTTCGATACGCGTAGCTACGTGTCGCTAGTAAAAATGAGATCTTATCATTAACGTTATGGATGGATATAAATACTTGCTCTTTATAAGTAATGTCTCGTGACAGCTTGGTTACATTCTATATGGTTAGTTTATAGTGTACTATACTCGCTTCGTCAGAACATATATTTGAAAGTATCCCAGGAAACTGTTCTTGCGGCAGGCTAGTGTCAGACGTGAAAGGAAAGGAAAATTAAACGATTTTTAAAAGATTTTTCTTCCCAAAGAATTTGTGGTCCTTTGATACTAAGTTTCCATTAACGTTTCAATGCCTTCTGCCCTTTTTTTAATCAAAATTTAACACAACAGTTACGGTTTCACAGATACTGGCATGATTTTCGTTTCCAATAACGTACACTAGCCCCTGGGAAACAGGCACTCTGTCGGCTTCTGTCGGTTTCGTTTGGTGAGGAGCCGCGGGCGGTGATTCGGCTGAACGGATTTCTGGGAAACAACGTAGCCTCCTGTGCAGGCCTCCAGGCGGCCGGTGGGAGTTTTGATACTGCGTTTTGTAGAATTTTCAACGCGTTTTTTCCCGTCCATCCTACTACCAACCGGGAAAAGAACGCGTTGAAAATTCGCACAAAACGCAGTATAAAAACTCCCACCCGCCTGGAGGCCTGCACAGGAAGCAACGTGTTGTGTGGGGAAGACCTCGTCAACTCTACGGCTCTAGTTTACGAGTCTTGACTTTGACAGTATCTGTATCTGTACAGCCGCTATACCACCCTTCGAATTTGATATTACAATTTGTTATAAAGCTACGCATTGACGGGTGATGATGATGGTGTATTCATAGATTTAGATTAATGTAATGTGTTACTTCTAGATCTACCATGGCATAGCGTGATTTAGTGAATCAAATGCAAATGAATATTCAATTTCTATTTATAGGTGGTCCAGGCCTAATAATAATGCAATGGCAGGCATTTTGCAGAATGATATGTACTAGATGGAATTACATCCACTGACAAATATAAGTGTACGTAACACAGAGAATGGCAGCGAACTGTGAAATACTGGCGTTCAATTGGTGTATGAAAAATGAAAACTTTCAAGAAAATATAGCCAAAACATCAATAGAAATAAAGCTAGGATCAAGGCAATGTCAAGAAACGCGATAAGAACAGAAATTAAGAAATGCGCACGTTACGTACCATATTCACAGCTCAAGTTGCTTGTCTTGGTCGGCAGTGTAGAGTGGCTCCGGTGTGATGTGTGATGTGACGCCGTCGGCAATTCCTCCAAGGAAAGCAGAAGAAGAACACGCTGATGCACCGCGCTGTTCCTCTTCTTCTGTTTCTGCAATATTAGTAGTCACGAACAGGTATAACTCCTGCTGAGACCTACAACAATATTAAAGAGAAGTGTTACTGCAGTAGAGGGAACCGTAACGATCGTCACACAGTCGGAGCTGGCTCGTGGTGCCTCCAGCCGTGACAGAAACTTCTTCTTCCTCAGTTTACTGATAGTGCGCGGCGTCAGAGAGCGGAGTCCTAAAACTCGGCCGCGGGCTAGCAACAGACGTCTCTAACTGACTGCGCGGCCCCGGTACACTGGTATATAGGGTAGGTACAAACACACATGTGAACCCGACCCCGCAGCGTGCTCGAGGAGCCGTGCGTGTTGACTCATGCTCAAGTCGAGTATTTGCCATCCTGGTTGGCCATTCTTGTGGCCGCGCCCTCAAGCCTGGTAGAGGCTACCTGCACACACGTATACGTAGTCTCTATCAGGCTTCAAACCTGAAAGACTACTTACTTAGTAACTTTAAAGTAAAAGCTGTTCATATAACTCTATAGATTATTATTTACATGAAAATATGCTATAATGTAGAAGTTAAAGAAGTAAGTAGGTAACATGTACGTTCACAATTGACCTTGACCTAGATTACAAGCAATAGTAGTTTTATTTCAAGACAAAAGAACAGAGAATGAAAGAAAGAAAGACCGTGCCTCTAAGTTTAAAAGGAGAAAGAGCGGAAGAAAGGATGTAGATATAAAGGAGCGAGAAAGAAATGATGTCCCAGTGTCCTCTGTGGAGTTGAGCACGTAGCCTCTACCAGGCTTGGGGAGGCGGCTGGAAAGAGTAGAAATCGGCCAATAGAGAGATAAGCATGCCAAGGGAGTTTGTCCGTTGAGAGAACAGTTTGCCGCACCCCAAATGTTCTCTCAACGGACAAACTCCCTTGGCATGCTTATCTCTCTATTTGGCTGATTTCTACTCTTTCCAGCCGCCTCCCCAAGCCTGGTAAAGTCTATTGAGCACGCGCCGTGTCGCCCTTTGATCCTGTCGCGGTGACAGCTGTGCCACCACGCGGAGTGATCCTCCCGCCCGCCGCACACAGGCACAATGGTCCTCACTACAAGCCTGTTTTCCCATCTGCCTAAGTTCAACAAGATAGTTTGTGCACTTCCGCCGCCAAGCACCATTAATTAGTCCATGTTACAGAAAGGGGAGGGGATCTGGGAGCCGGTGATAAACACTAGCAGTACTTGTGGGAAACTTTCGGGTCGGACAACATTCCTGGAGTGGAATGTTCTGCATTTCAAAGAAACGAAAACGAATTGGCAATACAATGTAGTTCTGTAATGAAATTCCGACGTACAACCATATCAAAGACTGGGGAAAAGCAAAACTCACGTGTTTGAGCCTTCCGCATAGATATAGCCCCGATCAATGATGGAATGTGAACCGATGCAAAGGAATTAGAGAATACAAAGTCAAAGTCGCAAACGTTTAAAAATATTCAAGTGTCCACAGTGAATGGACGAACAATTTCAAGGAATAAAGACAGAGCATAAAAGCCCTATTGCATTGCCTTAACTATTAATATCGTTCAAGAGCAAGCATATTGCTTACAGAGAGTTGTCGGTAACCAAGTGTGCGGTTATTGCTAAAATAAAGCACGATTCCAATTAACCTCCAGTCGACGGAGCGTATCCAACCCCACATTGTCCTCCACAGAGCCGTGCACAATCGTCAGGTCGTCTGTGTACGGTCCGGTGATTTGGAAGGTAAATCTTGTGGCGGATCAGGGCCCAAGAGGCTGCCCTGTGGAACCACCTGCGCGCAACCATACAACAAACCGCTGAGCCGCCGGGAGACAATTCCTTAAACAAACTGTCCGCTTAAATCGTACGGGATAAATCTCATTAGTTCGTCATGCATCGTTCGCTTCTTTTTCACTCGTAGACATCAAAGTAGAAAACTTACAAATTACATGCCAAGGGAAGTTATATTTCTTTTATGAATTGTGTTTCATTTCAGGATGCGCTTATTTTTTTTATCTAACTTTTATTGAACGAATAACTGAAGCCTGAACAAAAACATCAAAGCTTTCTGTCCTTTTTTTTCAAATGTTGACGTATGCTCTTCCCCATTACACCTGCAGGATAAAATGCTTTGGTATGTTAATGCTGTTATACCAATCGATATGCCAAACCGATAAACCGACCGGCCGCCAAAATGTTTGGGCGAAGCGCTTTCTGTGGGCGGTAGAGCTCGAGCGGAGTTTCCACAGGAGTAGACTGTTGAGATGCATTTGAGCGTTCACAAAGTTAGGCAAATATCTCTGTCATTCAATGAATGCTGAACGATCTCCAAGGTTTTCCGATGATCTTTCCATTGTCTCCATGATCAATGATTTTGATTTCCCTACAGCATCAGTCTTCCGAAAGTAGGCATGAAGTCACAATAGTAATAAAACTGTGCACAGCTTTTCCAAATTTTCTCACATTTTTGTTTTAATGGCTATATTGAATATGAATTTATACTAATGAAAATATATTACTTTTTTTGTCTTAAACCTTTAATAGACCTTTTAAATACAAGAATCAATAAGAACTAACATCCTGTAACGGTTTTCCCGATGTGATCACTAATCACCGCCCCCGCTTCCTCGTACATCACTCTGTACTAATCCTGGAGGATCAGGGCGGATTACGTTGTTTGCCGCAATGTTGTAAACAAAGCGAAAGTTAACAGTCGTGTCAAACAAACAAATACTTAGGACTTAGAATGTGACGTCAAGATCCTGTATGCTCCAGAGGTATGTTGTGGGCAGCCAAATCAAATATAACCACACTCAATCAAGAATAAGTCATCAAGGCTGTCAATCTTTTGCCTCCATACATTTACCAGGGGTTTCTGTAACAAACTCATCCAACGATTGTATAAGTTGATACCTATCTCATACTAGCCACCCACTTTGTATTAGGTTAGCCTTATGAAAATGTATACGTAGTTGACATGTACTTGCTTAAGTTAGTAGATGCCATACTTTGTACACTGTACAATTGTTGCGCAATAAAGTTATTATGTAACAAGTGTTGAGTGCTGACATTCAAGCAGATGTAAGGGTTCCCTATTACCTTTTCACTGTTCGCCTTCTTATACTAAACATACAGGAAAAGAGGCGCCAAATGTTGCCAAAACAGGCGTAAAACACCTCGAAAATGAGCCGGATTCTCACATCTGCTTTAAGATTACTTGAGTGTACACAATGTATTTACATACAAAAGTAATGCGTTTTAGGATTGTTACGACCTGGTGTCCTACTTCTACTTGGACTTTGCTGGTGCCGTGCCACCACTCACTAACGAAGTATTTTCCACACAAAGACCAGGATCTAACTCAGCCTCTGCCTCGGCAAACTCGAGATAAAAAGGCCGAGTATTTCCCTCATTAGCGCGACACTGTCTGCGACTTGTTATCCCGCTGTGTCCTGCGGCTTTCAAGTATTTGTACACGTTAAAAGATACAGTGAACAGTATTGATCTTTCAATGGTGGCAAACCCTCGGCTCCGGCTAGATCCGTGTCCAAACGACTTGTATCCGCGTCTTTTGTGTGCCGCGTGGCACGGCCGGGTTCTGGTTGTCCTCAGCGGTCACAACTCATCGAGAAAAAGTTACTGATTGACGCAAACCGTACCAAACGTTTTACTAGACGCTACCCGTCACTGTTGCTTCTTACGTCTAGGTCTATAGTTGGTTTAACGCCAGGCTCTTAACTAATGACCGTAGATTGGAGAACAGAACAGAGAACACTGTAGAACAGAACCAGCAAACCCTAAAGTACATGTATTGTAATGATCTGTCACAGCAAAGTTTGAGGTTTTATAAACGTGACTAATTAACTTGTTCAATACGTAGGACGGTCTTTTACAGTACATTATTGTTTTTAAATCTTATTTAATAGGGGCTGACTAACGATACAATGAATGATATCCGACGTATTTGTTTTTAGATTATAATTCTAATGTGAATACTGATCAGATGTAAAGCGACAGAGCCATTCTGGACCCCTTAGGACCTGCCATACTGTCACCTTTTTTAAAAAAGGAAATAAACCATTAACGTTATAGATTGAAGGCACAAAAATGTGAAAGACTTCATACTGGCTGAAGAGCGGTAATACCCCCGGGCGGCACAATACCCCGCCCTGGCTAACAAGCTCGCGGAACAAAGGCAAACATCCTTGTGGAGTGAAACGCGAGGTAAATATGAGTCTTTGGGAACAAATTCGGCGAGTCCGCTGCTCAATCAATATGTGGGGAAGTGGCCGTGGTCAGCGCTTAGGCTTGTTCGGTTGGATGAACTGCATAGACACAAGTAGCTATTGTCAATATCTCTCTCTCTTGGACGCACCCCTTGTATTTGGACATTTATGTGACTTTTTCGCTTAGAAAAATAGAAATTGTCAATTTCCGTGAAAAATCGCAGAATGACGAGGCATTAACACCAAGGTACTCTTTTGCAATTTGTACTTTCCTATTGAAGAATTAAGGAAAAGTACGCATAAGGAACAGTCCAAGAAACTGTTTCTTCTGACTGATATGGAGGCAAAGAAATATTTGAGTTCAAATACGTCAAACTTCACAAGCGCCCCCAAGCGCCAACAATGATTAGTGTACAAGGGCATTGTTGTCGGCGTGGCGCGATACGAAAATGGGCAGGAAATCGTGTTCAAAAGCGACATCTATCCATATACTCCATGTTGCAGGCCAAGGGTGCTTTCAGAGAGCTCTAGTATCCTATGGCTGACTACAATACATGAAGAAAAATGACAAGGATACGAAGGATGCCTCAAAATCAATTTAATTGCATTTTGAAAGGTTGAAATTAGTTACAAGACCAAGCGTTCATTTGATGTCCGAACTTCACGACTTTCAAGGATAACAATATGACTTCCTCCATTAATCGGTGGACTTACACAAAGTTATTTTGTACCTTATAAAAATTACAGCAACATTTTGTCCCATCGTTTCTGCCTTCTTAATCTGACTCCAGTGTTGGTGAATTATTCCAGTTTTTCAAATGTTGTGAGGTTAGATGGATCAATTCCTGAGAGGTTCCC